CCTGGAGAAGTCTCTATATAACGGTCACACCAAGATATCTCCTGGATAAGTCTGTATATAACGGTCACACCAAGGTATCTCCTGTAGAAGTCTGTATATAACATCAGACCAAGGTACCGTATCTCCTGGAGAAGTCTTTAAATAACGGTCACACCAAGGTACCGTATCTCCTGGATAAGTCTCTATATAACGGTCACACCAAAGTATCTCCTGGATAAGTCTCTATATAACGGTCACACCAAGGTACCGTATCTCCTGGAGAAGTCTCTATATAACGGTCACACCAAGATATCTCCTGGATAAGTCTGTATATAACATCAGACCAAGGTACCGTATCTCCTGGAGAAGTCTCTAAATAACGGTCACACCAAGGTACCGTATCTCCTGGATAAGTCTCTATATAACGGTCACACCAAAGTATCTCCTGGATAAGTCTGTATATTACGGTCACACCAAGGTACCGTATCTCCTGGAGAAGTCTGTATATAACGGTCACACCAAGGTACCGTATCTCCTGGAGAAGTCTCTATATAACGGTCACACCAAGGTATCTCCTGTAGAAGTCTGTATATAACGGTCACACCAAGGCACCGTATCTCCTGGATAAGTCTGTATATAACGATCACACCAAAGTACCATATCTCCTGGATAAGTCTGTATATAACGGTCACACCAAGGTACCATATCTCCTGGAGAAGTCTGTATATAACGGTCACACCAAGGTACCATATCTCCTTGAGAAGTCTGTATATAACGGTCACACCAAGGTACCATATCTCCTGGAGAAGTCTGTATATAACGATCACACCAAGGTATCTCCTGGATAAGTCTGTATATAACGGTCACACCAAGGTATCATATCTCCTTGAGAAGTCTGTATATAACGGTCACACCAAGGTACCGTATCTCCTGGATAAGTCTGTATATAACGATCACACCAAGGTATCTCCTGGATAAGTCTGTATATAACGATCACACCAAGGTACCATATCTCCTGGATAAGTCTGTATATAACGGTCACACCAAGGTACCGTATCTCCTGAATAAGTCTGTATATAACGATCACACCAAGGTACTATATCTCCTGGATAAGTCTGTATATAACGGTCACACCAAGGTACCATATCTCCTGGATAAGTCTGTATATAACGGTCACACCAAGGTATCTCCTGGATAAGTCTGTATATAACGATCACACCAAGGTACCATATCTCCTTGAGAAGTCTGTATATAACGGTCACACCAAAGTACCATACCTCCTGGAGAAGTCTGTATATAACGATCACACCAAGGTATCTCCTGGATAAGTCTGTATATAACGATCACACCAAGGTATCTCCTGGATAAGTCTGTATATAACGGTCACACCAAGGTACCATATCTCCTGGAGAAGTCTGTATATAACGATCACACCAAGGTATCTCCTGGATAAGTCTGTATATAACGATCACACCAAGGTATCTCCTGGATAAGTCTGTATATAACGGTCACACCAAAGTACCATACCTCCTGGAGAAGTCTGTATATAACGATCACACCAAGGTATCTCCTGGATAAGTCTGTATATAACGATCACACCAAGGTATCTCCTGGATAAGTCTGTATATAACGATCACACCAAGGTACCATATCTCCTTGATAAGTCTGTATATAACGGTCACACCAAGGTACTATATCTCCTGGAGAAGTCTGTATATAACGGTCACACCAAGGTACCATATCTTTCTGTATATAACGGTCACACCAAGGTATCTCCTGGATAAGTCTGTATATAACGATCACACCAAGGTACCATATCTCTCCTGGAAGAAGTCTGTATATAACGATCACACACCAAGTACCATATCTCCTGGAGAAGTCTGTATATAACGGTCACACCAAGGTACCATATCTCCTGGAGAAGTCTGTATATAACGATCACACCAAGGTACAATATCTCCTGGAGAAGTCTGTATAATAACGATCACACCAAGGTATCTCCTGTATATGGACCTCCTAAGTCTGTATATAACGATATATAACGTATATAACGTCACACAAGGTACCTGTATATAACGGTCACACCAAGGTACCATATCTCCTGGAGAAGTCTGTATATAACGATCACACCAAGGTATCTCCTGGAGAAGTCTGTATATAACGATCACACCAAGGTATCTCCTGGATAAGTCTATATATAACGGTCACACCAAAGTACCATACCTCCTGGATAAGTATCTCCTGATAAGTCTGTATATAACGGTCACACCAAGGTACCATATCTCCTGGATAAGTCTGTATATAACGGTCACACCAAGGTACCGTATCTCCTGGAGAAGTCTGTATATAACGATCACACCAAGGTATCTCCTGGATAAGTCTGTATATAACGGTCACACCAAGGTACCATATCTCCTTGAGAAGTCTGTATATAACGGTCACACCAAGGTACCGTATCTCCTGGAGAAGTCTGTATATAACGATCACACCAAGGTATCTCCTGGATAAGTCTGTATATAACGGTCACACCAAGGTATCATATCTCCTTGAGAAGTCTGTATATAACGGTCACACCAAGGTACCGTGTCTCCTGGAGAAGTCTCTATATAACGCTTGTTAACGATATTTTTGGGGTACCATTTTTTGCGACTTTTGCTTATCCGTGAAAATGAAAGAATTAATAAATAAACAAATAGATGCGATCCTCGCAATTGATTTCTTTATATCCTCCATGTAAATCGGTTAAATAATGTAACTTGACGTCAATAAACTTCTCTGTAAAACTCCTTTAGCTATCTTCTTTGAAAGCGGTCATCGTTGACAGAGCTTTTATCATTTACAATAGTAACTTAAAATCTAACTTCTATGAACATATAAGTTGACGGATTGAAAAGGAAACCTGACCACCATACCTTACAACAAGGCTACACGAATTTTATATCGTTATCTGACGTTCATAAAGATTCACCCATGGAGAGAAGTAAAGGGAGCGTACATGGTGTTGTCCTTTCCTACAGTGTGTCTTTGTTACGGGACGTTGAGAATTCTACTTCAGAATAATAAACAACCCTTGTGTCCATTACAATATGGCACGCTGACCCTCTTAAAAATGTAGGTAATGATGATATGGTAATGTGTTTTTAAACATTCAACTGATACCTGACACAAACAAGTCTTTTCTTTCAGAAATCTGACTTTATAGCGCGATGCAATTTTACTAAAGAAGGGCCAAAAAGAAACACCTATGTGAGGAAATATACCAAAACAAGATATTTCAACAACCATCAACCGAACTAATATAGTCTACAGAGTCAAAACAGTGGCCTACAGTGGTACTACAGTGGTCTACAGAGCAATTAAAGTTGTCTGCAGAGCCAAAACAATGGACAACAGAGCCAATAAGTTGTCTACAGAGCAAACACAGTTGTCTACAGAACCAATACAGTTGTCTACGGAGCCAACACAGTTAACTACAGGGCGAATACAGTGGTCTACAGAGCCATTAAAGTGATTTACAGAGATAATACAGTGGTCTACAGAGCCATTACAGTGGTCTACAAAGTTAATACAGTTGTCTTCAAAGTCAATACAGTTGTCTATACAGTTAATGCAGTTGTCTACTGAGCCAATACAGTTGTCTACAGAGCTAACACGGTGGTCTACAGAGATAATACAGTTGTCTACAGAGTCAATACAGTTGTCTACAGAACCAATACATTTGTCTACAGAGTCAATACAGTTGTCTACAGAACCAATACAGTTGTATACAGAGCCAGTTTTGTCTACGTAGCCAACACAGTTAACTACAGCGCGAATACATTGGTCTATAGAGTTAATACAGTTGTCTATAGATATAATACAGTTGTCTACACAGCCAATACAGTTGTCTTCAGAGTCAATACAGTTGTCTACAGAACCAATACAGTTGTCTTCAGAGTCAATACAGTTGTCTACAGAACCAATACAGTTGTCTGTAGAGTAAATACAGTTATCTTTAGAGTTAATACAGTTGTCTACAGAGCCAATACAGTTGTCTACAGAGTCAATACAGTGGTCTACAGAGATAAAACAGCTGTCTACAGAGCCATTACAGTTGTCTATAGAGATAATACAGTTGTCTACAGATCAAATACTGTTGTCCAGAACCATAACAAATTTACAGTAAAATCAAAATGACTCAAAAAGTCAAAGCACAAGGACTCAAAAAGTCAAAGCACAAGGACTCAAAAAGTCAAAGCACAAGGACTCAAAAAGTCAAAGCACAAGGACTCAAAAAGTCAAAGCACAAGGACTCAAAAAGTCAAAGCACAAGGACTCAAAAAGTCAAAGCACAAGGACTCAAAAAGTCAAAGCACAAGGACTCAAAAAGTCAAAGCACAAGGACTCAAAAAGTCAAAGCACAAGGACTCAAAAAGTCAAAGCACAAGGACTCAAAAAGACAACAGACAACGAAAAATTGTCTGCAGCGTAAATGCACATTGGAAAGTAGTATACTCTCAGTGCATAAGCAATACCTATTGAAATAGGTACAAAGAGGCCACAGCATTAGTGATGAAGACCGCGATCAGAAATGAATCTGACATTGTAACTTTTTCTGAAACACCATGTGACCAGAAGAGATAATAATTTGTCTAGTGCTGCGCGTCAGACGTCTGCCTGTCTGATATCTTAGTGTATTTCATGGTAGTCGATTTTGTAATCTCTTGCTTGTATTAGGTATATGTTGATAACGATGTATCTGCCTGGCTATAATTAGGCACAAGAATATTTAGTCAAACGCTGTTAACTACAATATATCAGACAGGGCAAATCAATGGCGAAACGCAAATTTATATGAGAAAGAAAAAATTCAAAACATTGAACATTAAAACCATTACAGATGATATTGTACTGTGAATTGTTTTACTTTTCTCGGAAATGATCATCAAAAAGAGAAAGGAGTTGGTAGTAACCTTTCAATGCGGTAATATCAATAAAAATATAGTCAGGTGACCAGAGTACAGTGGTGGAGGTGACCAGTGTTAGGTGGTGGAGGTGACCAGAGTAAGGTGGTGGAGGTGACCAGAGTAAGGTGGTGGAGGTGACAAGTGTAAGGTGGTGGAGGTGACCAGAGTAAGGTGGTGGAGGTGACCAGAGTAAGGTGGTGGAGGTGACCAGTGTAAGGTGGTGGAGGTGACCACTGTAAGGTGGTGGAGGTGACCAATGTAAGGTGGTGGAGGTGACCACTGTAAGGTGGTGGAGGTGACCCTGTAAGGTGGTGGAGGTGACCACTGTAAGGTGGTGGAGGTGACCACTGTAAGGTGGTGGAGGTGACCAGTGTAAGGTGGTGGAGGTGTAAGGTGGTGGAGGTGACCAGTGTAAGGTGGTGGAGGTGACCAATGTAAGGTGGTGGAGGTGACCACTGTAAGGTGGTGGAGGTGACCAGTGTAAGGTGGTGGAGGTGACCAGAGTAAGGTGGTGGAGGTGACCAGAGTAAGGTGGTGGAGGTGACCAGTGTAAGGTGGTGGAGGTGACCAGAGTAAGGTGGTGGAGGTGACCAGAGTAAGGTGGTGGAGGTGACAAGTGTAAGGTGGTGGAGGTGACCACTGTAAGGTGGTGGAGGTGACCAATGTAAGGTGGTGGAGGTGACCACTGTAAGGTGGTGGAGGTGACCACTGTAAGGTGGTGGAGGTGACCAATGTAAGGTGGTGGAGGTGACCAGTGTAAGGTGGTGGAGGTGACCAATGTAAGGTGGTGGAGGTGACCAGAGTAAGGTGGTGGAGGTGACCAGTGTTAGGTGGTGGAGGTGACCAGAGTAAGGTGGTGGAGGTGACCAGAGTAAGGTGGTGGAGGTGACAAGTGTAAGGTGGTGGAGGTGACCACTGTAAGGTGGTGGAGGTGACCAATGTAAGGTGGTGGAGGTGACCAGTGTAAGGTGGTGGAGGTGACCAATGTAAGGTGGTGGAGGTGACCAGAGTAAGGTGGTGGAGGTGACCAGTGTTAGGTGGTGGAGGTGACCAGAGTAAGGTGGTGGAGGTGACCAATGTAAGGTGGTGGAGGTGACCACTGTAAGGTGGTGGAGGTGACCACTGTAAGGTGGTGGAGGTGACCACTGTAAGGTGGTGGAGGTGACCAGAGTAAGGTGGTGGAGGTGACCAGAGTAAGGTGGTGGAGGTGACCAGAGTAAGGTTGTGGAGGTGACCAGAGTAAGGTGGTGGAAGTGACCAGAGTAAAGTGGTTGAGGTGACCAGTGTTAGGTGGTGGAGGTGACCAGAGTAAGGTGGTTGAGGTGACCAGTGTAAGGTGGTGGAGGTGACCAGAGTAAGGTGGTGGAGGTGACCAGTGTAAGGTGGTGGAGGTGACCAGAGTACGGTGATGAGGGTGACCAGTGAATTGTGGTGGAGGTGACCAGAGTAAGGTGGTGGAGGTGACCAGAGTAAGGTGGTGGAGGAGACCAGAGTTGATAACCTCTCAAATAACCTCCTTTCTTGTGGGTACATTTGTTACATAATTCTATGTTGAATATTACAAACATTCACTCAATGACCAAGTTTTCTGTCCTAAATTGAGAAATTTACAGAAAAATGAGTTATCACTGCATTAGAACGAGGAAATGATATAAAACACCATCCGCTCTTTTTTTGGAGTGTCGTTTTGGCGTATATGGTCATTATTACACTATGTGTAAAGTAGATTTGATCATTACACTAACTGGTATCCAAAACCTCTACCGGCAGTGTGTGGTTCTTCAAGGGAGCTGAGTCGTTCTGTGATATGGTTGTGTCTTGGGGGAAGACACTACTCCAATTACAATGAATATCCTGTGACGAACCTCTCGTATACTGTTCAATGATAACGTCTCCATGCTGCTTCTTCTTGGAGATGACCCTGATTGTTCATAAGATGACAAACCCAGCCAACAAACCAGTGTACTATGAATCAAATATACCATATATTATATACATCTTTTACATCCAGTATTACATATGGTACTGTGTTGTACGTCCAGTATTACATATGATACTGTGTTGTACGTCCAGTATTACATATGATACTGTGTTGTACGTCCAGTATTACATATGATAATGTGTTGTACGTCCATTATTACATATGATACTGTGTTGTACGTCCAGTATTACATATGATACTGTGTTGTACGTCCAGTATTACATATGATACTGTGTTGTACGTCCAGTATTACATATGATACTGTGTTGTACGTCCAGTATTACATATGATACTGTGTTGTACGTCCAGTATTACATATGATACTGTGTTGTACGTCCAGTATTACATATGATACTGTGTTGTACGTCCAGTATTACATATGATACTGTGTTGTACGTCCAGTATTACATATGATAATGTGTTGTACGTCCAGTATTACATATGATAATGTGTTGTACGTCCAGTATTACATATGATAACGTGTTGTACGTCCAGTATTACATATGATAATGTGTTGTACGTCCAGTATTACATATGATACTGTGTTGTACGTCCAGTATTACATATGATACTGTGTTGTACGTCCAACATTACATATGATACTGTGCTGTACGTCCAGCATTACATATGATACTGTGTTGTACGTCCAGTATTACATATGATACTGTGTTGTACGTCCAGTATTACATATGATAACGTGTTGTCCGTCCAGTATTACATATGATACTGTGTTGTACGTCCAGTATTACATATGATACTGTGTTGTACGTCCAGTATTACATATGATAACGTGTTTTACGTCCAGAATTACATATGATAACGTGTTTTAACGTCCATCACCTCAGGTCAAATATTTTGTATTATCGCATCAGAAGGTATGAAATGATTTTTCAAAGTTATATACAGTGAAACTTCGCTATTAAGATCGCTTTGGGGCCTGGACAAAAGTGGTCTTAATATCGAGGTGGTCTTAATAGTGAGGTGGATCAGATTGACCGCCAAGAACCGCAACTCTGTTTGAAATAAAGACTATATATATATCATTAAGTAATTTACATGTGTATTATTCAACAATAATAACTTAAAGTTTGATTAACTGTATATAAAATGTTGAAATTTATTAAATGAATGTTAAACAGGTAAAATTGGTGAATTGACAAAATATTATTTATGTATATATACCTGTGTTAATCTATATTGTAATATACATGTATATTTATTAATGTTAACAATGAATAAAAGAAAACAATCAACTTTAAGTTCAATAGGAATTTAATGGGTTTTTTTTCAAATCTTCACATAATTTACAAACATATTCCTTCAGTCAATATATTACACAATCCCCTTCAGTCAATATATTACACAATACAACACATTTGAGGGGTGTCGCAGTCTGTCTCAACAACAGCAACATCACTAACACTGATACCACCTTTCGCAAAACATTTCACTATAGTCTCCTTCTTTACATCATTGACAACACCACTCACAAATCGTATAGCATCCAGAATAGTTATTCCTTTCGCGAAGGTCTCTTCCTGAGGATGATTTCCATCACCTAGACGTGCGATGGTAGAACGGAACAGCCTTTTACAGTTTACAACTTTCACTGTCTGAATAATGCCTTGATCCAGAGGCTGAAGAACAGAAGTCGTGTTGACAGGAAAGAAAACAAGCTTGATGTTGGTCAGCTTCAAACTTGGATGAGAGAGGGCGTTGTCCAAGAATAACAGGATGTGGCGACGAGCGAGCCTCATACGTCTGTCCAAATCTGTTACCCGTTCCCTGAATAACTGACCGGTCATCCAAGCTTTCTTGTTTGTACGCCAGGTAACAGGAAGTTGAGCAGGCCTAATGTTCTTGAAGCAACGGGGATTTAAGGACTTTCCAATGATAAGAGGCTTCTCAAAGTTGCCTTCTAGGTTACAACACAGAACGAATGTGATTCTGTCCTTCTGACTTCTTCCCTTCCTTGCATTCCTCTCCTCGAACACATAATGACTTGTCAGGTAAGGACCGGAAGAAAAGGCCAGTTTCGTCCATATTATAAATGTCACAAGCATCATATCTACAGATAATGTCTGGCAGCTTGTCTTTCCATTCTGACACCACATCCGGAGAAACAATAGCACTTCCACCACAGATGTTAGCAAATGAAATTATATGTCTCTCCCGAAATCACTGCAACCATCCATTAGATGCCTTAAAGTTAGTGTCAGTGATTCAAAGTTCTTGTGCGTAGGTAAGAATTCTCTCCTACAACATTGGTCCAGAGACAGGAATGTGCTGTGCACGCATCCGTTGAAACCATTCCCACATGAGTTCATTAAGTTCCTCTGATGATGAATTTTCAATTTATGATTTTTTTTTATAAGACGAGACATAAGACATTTTATTTTTGCGCTCCTTGTTTTATAATATACACGTGTAACTCAACAGATTTACACATGGTTGTCACCATACTGAAAACAAACTGGAAAATGTTAGATAAATTTTATAATATAAACATGTTACTCTAAAGACAGCGATATAAACACGGATTTCCCTGTTTTAAGCTTTGTTCTGTTATTTTTGGTGGTGTAGTTTCCGGATTGCTGTGAGATGGAATTCGTCATTACGTTATTGAAAATGTGTCTCAGTTGTTCCCCGGTTCTGATGTCCATGACCTTCTACAATAAAACACATAGCCAGCTGCCAGTAACTTGTGTCCACTATTTCTGTCTGCATTGAGAGATATGAAATACTTGTATAAAATTGCACAGTCACGGGCAAATGTACGGAATAATATTTACATCTGCATAATTATTCAGAATGTGAAGTTTTGCTTGAAATGAAAAGCATTTAAAGAAAAAGTGAGATATTGTTATTCAAAATATAAAGTGTTTGAAATGGATATCCTTGTTTAAAAAGGGGTGTATAATATATTATTTAATATGGAAAGTACTGTTTTAAAAAAATAAAGGTTTGTTTAAAATTTGAAAAAGTACTTGTATTTGTTGTATCTCAAATGAGTACACATGTATGTTAAATGAAATAACTTATTTTGACCAATCTAACATCAGACCTAGGTCAAATTCAAGCTTGCGAAAGCACGGCGACATTAATTCTCCTACCTACGCATATAAACACTAAAAATATATTATTTCTTCTTAAACAGACAGTATATCGATAATGTACCAAACAGACCAAGGCGTACCCGGCGAACTTGACAATTCACACAACCATTTGTGATTTTATATCAGTTTATAACTTTCTTTATTGTTCACACCTTTAGATCAGTCTGGAGTCATGACACGACAGGTAATGTGGCAGGTTGCCAAGGAGCGGCCGCCATTTGTAAACAATGAGCGTAAATCGTCAATGATTTATACATGGCGTCCGAGAAGACGAGACGACAGTAATGTTGCTCAAGGATTCTCAGTGAATATCTAACGTGTTCACATGGATGTGAAGAAAGAAATATGTCGGTCGCTGGTAGGGCTTACTTGGCTCGCAGTCGGCCTGGCACTTGATATAGGTAATTATAAACACCCGTCACAGAATGCTTTGTCCTCTCTGTATTACTATCGCTGATAGAGATCAATAGGAAAGTCCTACATTTTTCTCCTTTTTCGTTGCTATGTTAAACACCCTCACATGCACATACCATAATCTGTACAGGTGTGCGGTTGTACATCTGGCCTAGTTCTCAGGACAGATCGGTTACAAGACCAGTAACCGCTATGTGTTGTGGAATGGGACACGTTGTTAACTCTAAACATTTCTATATATAACGATATATGTGATGTATCATTCTGTGGTTTTCGAGTAGCAAGGGTTTCCGCTCGAGTGATGAGGGATCATACAATAACTAACTGCATACTTCTCACCGCGAACAAAAAGTAAGAGGAAGTGAAAAACCTCCATCTTGTCATGATCAGCCCCCTTATAATCTACCTGTATCTGACGGAGTTGTCTCGATACCAGGGAACCCTGACTCAGTACGTATAGATTGTTGCTTGCTTTCTCGAGTAACAAGGGTTTTTTTTTTACCTGAGCTAGTCCCGAGTGACGAGACATTATGCAATAAGTTGACTTACTGCCTATTTCACACCTTCAACAAACCAAGTTATTCACCAAATCTGCCTCTATACCCTTCATTGTTTTCTGTCTAATTTCCCTGTACCGGAACACTTGACTCAGTATTGCTATCAAACGGTCAGAATCCATTGTAAAAGGACGTGATTATTTTCCTACAAAATGACTTGTGGATTTTTAGCCTAGAAATCAGCAAAATGTAATATTAATATTTAAACACAAAATACTAGGACAGGAACAAGATGATTTGGAAACATAAAGCCTAGGTAATGAGATAACTCAAGAACCAGTGTTACAAAGCAATAAAATATTGGGTAAAATCTGGTCTGGGGTCAGTACAGAAAAATTGGAAAACAACTGTAAGTTGTAGATTTTAAAGTGAATAGTTTCAGGTGCATTAGTTAAATCAGTCATTTCGTTTAGATTATCATCACAAACATATTGATTATCTCCCCTTTCCTTAAAGAAAGGTTACCACAGCCAACTACACACAGCCCCTTTCGTGGTCAAGTAATTATGAATGCCCATGAAAGGGACTAGGTGTGTCGTTGACTATGTTACCAATTAATTTATTACCCACACTATGCTGTAACAAATGTCATAAGGATTTTTTCCGTGAAGTTGACTTGTGGACAAAAATATTGCACACGGATATATGTGTGAAATATGTAGTAAATGTTCTTGTTCAGTGTACACTGTTTTTCTCTCTCCTAAGTAATCAGACATCCGAAGATGTCGATAAAAGGGAGATAACTATATAAAATTATGTGCACTCGTGAACGTTTCGTTAATTTTGTCGAGTGTTTGCATGATTTTACACTAAGAAACCAGAGAGTGTATTTTTTAACATTTATCCTAAAGACTTGCATATTCTCTCTTGATATAGAATTTGTTCAAGAATGTACTATACAGTTTCTAAGAGAAAATCATCCAAAATTTGACTTTAAATTTCCTTATATCAGACCAATTTCAGTATGTTTTAATAAGTATTTTCATAGTGTGACCAAGACGTATTGAAAATGACAAAAACTGGATTTTCAAAGTTTGGCTAAAGGCCTTGTATTTGATGAATTTTATGTCAAGATGGTCCAAACCATACGTAGTCCATTAAATTTATGTCCAAAAGTGCTACTAACCATTTCGATCTCTATTTATAATATTGCCAAAACCTATTTCCGAAAGTAGGTTTTGTCGATTGATGTAAATATAAACAAACACATGTTTATTGTTAGAAACTTTTGTTGTGTCTTTGCAACCAACCAACCAGTCAAATATTGTCTTTTATTACAACAAACTAGTCACATAATAATATTCTTCAGGTCTTCTGCTGCCCCTTGGTTTCATTCTCGGCCCCATTGGCTGTCAAGCTATCTTGATATAATTTCTGAATTTGCAGATTACATGTCAGCTTCTTGTACCACTATGGGTGTGACTGTGACGAAATCCAGGATGGTGGAGTCGAGTTCTGCCCTGGTCTACAGTAATGATATGAACTGTGTTTTCACCGCCAGTGTATCCGACGGTCGCTATAACCTACTTGCTGTTTTTAGGTATGGATTTTCCCGAACAGAACGTTTAATTTGTTCTCTTTGATCTTCTATAATTCCGTATGTGATTTAGGATGAGTTTTATATAAAAAATAATTTCTGTATGTTTCCCGTATAAACTTGTATTTTGTTATTACTAGGTTTTATTTGTGTCTGCTTTCATTCGTTGATGTTACGTACCGAGTATTTAATTCTGCAATATTACAATTTCTTTCCAAAGATTGCATCAGCGACATAAATATAGAATATTTTTGAACCGAAACCATGTGGACAGTAGAGAAAGCCTACAGTAACATACCGTTGTTTATTTGTTCGTTGTAGTTAATTTCCGAGTAATACATGAACTAGTTCGTTGATTTTGAATTTCTCCAGATTTTTCTGGTCTATAGTTTGTAATCGTTTTCTCTCACAGTCGGTTCGACCTGGAGACGAAGTCTAGTGGTACGTGTCTAGACTATGTCAATGTTTACGATGGAAATTCAGTGTCGGCTACAGTTCTCAACTCAGAACCTTTGTGTGGTTCCACAATACCTAGCAACCTGGTCTCCACCGGAAGCCAAATGACCATTGAATTCGTGACGGACTCCAGTGCTGTCCTGATGGGTTTCGCGATCATACTTTCGGAAGTGTATAATGGTAAAATTCTACATTTTTCAGACAGCCACCAAAATCATGATGAAAATGATACATTATTGGTACAGTAGGCATAACGTTCATAGAGATGCATGTATCCTGAGGTGTTCCGATTTTAGACAAAAAAATGGGAATTCATAACAAAACGGTTTCAATGTTTATCTTGAAAAAAATGGCTGGTGCTCTGAATGGTTTTGTATTGACACATTTCTTTTTCCATTATCCCCAGGATCCTGCTCCTCAACGGAGTACGCCTGTAGTAATGGCTTCTGTGTGAACTCTGACCTCAGGTGTAATCACTACAAGGAGTGTGGGGACGGGTCTGACGAGAACGCGTGCACTAGTAAGTTATTATTGAAATGATAGAACTCCTGGATACATTGGTAACAAATAAGGAGATTAGAGGCCCCACTGAGGTCTTTTTTATATTGTGGGTCACTATAACATTTGTGTAAATCAATCTTCACTGAAGATAACCAAAACATCACGTTTACCATACCGGAGATTCCCTGTACTTTTCAGTAAACGTGACATATGACACACCGTTGACGATATTTTGCTGAAACCTGAAACATTTCACCTATATACATGCATACATTAAAACGTTTTTCTAAGATAAACAAATCAAGGTAGATAACTAGCTTAGTAAGTTTTGTCTCTATCAATCAGATATGCTAACCACACACCTTAACAGTTTCCCTCACGTGCTAACTATTGTTTCTCCCCCTCCAGCTGAAGAGCTTTACGGACCAGGAGCAGGAAACATTGCGCTGATTGTTGGTCTCACTCTTGGTATCCTGGCTCTGTTGGTGCTGGTGGCAGTCATTGGCATTTTCATTTATAGACAATACAGATGGCGCCTTTTCCTCAAAGACCCGTTCCCGGAAATGAAGAAATGGAACGCGACTAGCAACTACCCGGTGACCCAAAAATACTACAAACAAGGTTTTACCAACACTGGCTATCAGAGCATCGAGGTGCGCTCTCCGACTTCTCCGACTTCCCAACCCTACAAAGATTTCGAGGTAGAGGAGGATGAATTATCTAGCACAAAAAAGACCGACTCACTTACCTCAAAACCCACAGAATCAAAGGAAAAAGTTTTGTTTAAAAATGAGCCAGGTACATCGAAGGTGTGAGGGAAGTCCTGTGGAATTATTGAGTATGTAGAGGTTGTAACACTGTTGATCAACCTCATTTCATTAGTTTTGTTAACATCAGTAGGTCCTTTATAATATCATACTATATTTGTTACTGTGTCAATCTGTTAATGGTACATGTAATAAGAAATTATAATGTTATATCCATGTTAATATGGAACCTTATTTTCGCATTCAAATCCGTCCAATAGTTCATGTATACTCGTGTAACCTACAGGTCCTGTTTTAATTCGTTATATTGGCACGGCTCAGTATCGACACCTGTCCTTGATGGCATTCTGATTAAACCAAATACAGGAAAAATACAAAATTTATTTAATGATGGAGCTAGTGCACCTCCGATCTAGATTTTGACAATTCTTTCGATCGATTTCGATTTTCCTTAATCGCTTCCTAAATTTAAAATTTTAAGATGTACGATGCAGTCTAAGTTATCATTAGGCTCTTCATTATCTGTGTGATCATTTATCGTTTTTTAACATTCTTTCTTTGTGTTTTGTCAGTCCATTCATAGTCTAGAATAGATATTGTCACTTGTCTTCTGAAGTGTCCTTGATATTTAGGATTGATGTACATTGTCAAGGCCAACTTAACTCAAACTATAACATCCGGGTACCAGATGAATTTATGCAGAACTTTCTTGTACAATATATTGTCGGAGACTCTAAGATTTCTTAGCTCTTCCCCGCCACACTAAGTGTGTAACAAGAGGTTAGCTAAGAATAAAAACAAGAATAATCAAAGACTACAATGTACCTAGGACATTCCTGGAATACCTTTCTCCAAATTTGTCTTCAGGTGTAATGGATGTGTCCTATATGAATAACAATGAATATGCAGTACATTAAGATTTAAATGATTCCCCCGACTAAAATACGAGAGTTTAATGCATCAGATATATCGTTTCTATATTTAATTTTTTATATATTGGCATGTTGTGTATTTCGCAGGCGAAATACTTTTTATATCATAAGTTTTTATTAACAAATAAATTAACTATTAAATGCTGTATTCATATTGTTGTGATAATTTATAGAGTCCATTACAGGATATCTAAAAACAGGAGAGAGAATCTCTTTTAAAGATTTTAAATTCCGTCTGAGCTATGCCAGAAGATGACAATTGTACACATAGTTTGGATAACGTACGTCAGGATTTTCACAGGTCATACACAAGAGGGACTTAAACATGTCCAACAGTACTGGATAATGACGGTCGGAATGTTAGCTTTATGGACCAGGAAAACAGATTTTATTGTAATAAGTATAGAATAATAGCTGACGAATTTCAATTTGTTAAAAAAGAAGACGACACGCAGTGAAATGATTTTCAGCATTTGACTTTATGGCATTGCATTCACCAAGTCTTACACTTTCACAGAATAAGCAACTTATCCAGGGGTTCTTTCATTTTTTGATTTTTTTTTTTTTTTCTGAAATATTTAATTTCAAAGCTATTCATTTAGTAAAAGTATATTATCGATGATTGATTCCATTCTAGTTAAAGGGGGATAACTCTTACAGTTTTGCATATACGATATGAAATCGTGACGGGGTCGTCTTTATCAATGCTACATCGGAATGTCTCTAGGTTAATCTACACGTTACATTTTCTTCTGAGATTTTCCGTCATTGACAAAACTTTTCTCTCGATCATTAGTCAAGCAAGACCCAATAAGCGAAATCAAAATTCCACAGAATAGCCAATGATGGCGTGAAAGAAGTCTTTTTTGGGAAAAGTTATAGAAGCCACATTATTTATTGAACTTTCATCCATTCACAACACAAATAACAAATAAAAAGTATTGTAGTACAAATTAATGATAAAAATTTCATACATGTATATGTAACATTTCAGCACACCTGAACCGACGTCTGGAGGAGTTGATAAATACTTTTTATTACTTCCCTTCCCATATACTGTATAAAACCTCAATTTCAGCAACAGCCTAGTACATGGGACAGCATATGACTTTAATCTTATTTACAATGACTAAGTTTCGAATTTCTGTCTCAGGTGAAGGTCTATGCCATGGCATACCTAGCTTACAAGGAGGCAGAGCAAATGAGGTAGACCTGTTATAATCTAGAATATGGATATAGGAAAAAAGAAGACATTGTTGTTTCATATAATACTTCATTTTGTACAAAAATGGACAAAGATTTATATTTTAAAATTTATGATTTACATGCAATGATATAGATACTAAATAACACTTATATCACAGAACGCATTATATGTTGAGACTACATAATAATCTAACTCACTCTATGTACACTAACAAATATTATAATTGTAATGATGACTTGAGATCGATTCAGCAATACTAACAAACGAGGAGAGACAATGACGCGGGAACGACGTCAACAATCAAAACGTACAAGAGAGTGATGACGTCAGAAACGTCAGATGACAGATAAGAAAGCGAGTTAATGACGTCAACAAGGACAGACATGTAGGAATGACGTTAAATTAGAGTGCTGTAGGTAATAATGTACAATTTCACGTCAGCAATGATGAAGATCAGGGGAATCAAACATTTCACAACAGAGAACAATGGTAAGCAGCAGAAATTAAATGACCTCAAGAACATAATATTATATGGAACAAATTGAAAGGGTTTATATACAGTATCACCAAACATCCGTACGATGGTCCAATCAGGACTCAGCTTCATACAGAAAATAATTAATGTAATAGATCTACAATTTGTATCAATATGATACACGTGTATTTCCTATTCCTAGTGACCCCAGAAATCCTACAATAAATGTTTAGAATCATCACTGAGCTGCTAATCATAATATGTGACATGTTGAATCTTCTTACGTGTTGGCAAAACATTTGAATTAAATCTCTACGTCAAATATATAACTATTAATCCATATTCAGGACAAACCGGTTTTCACAAATCCAAGACACAGGTAAAAATTCTGTTTCTATGGTTACGTGGGTCATGTGATATAAATATCTAACGATGTTCTCTAAGATGGCCACCATCCCCTGACAGGAAGTGGGTCATGTGATATAAATATCTAACGATGTTCTCTAAGATGGCCACCATCCCCTGACAGGAAGTTAAGCCAACCATTGGAAAGGGCCGTACTGTCCGTATCCGGGTCTGACGTAATAGAGGGCGTGGTTTTCTTGGGAGTTTCATTTTCCACTGGGCTGATGGCATTCTTCTTCTTCCATGGAGAACCCGTGACTGTAAAATAAAAACTAAAATATAATAACATTTTGACCAGCCTCTATGTGACTTCGGTTCTACTGTCGGCTGTGTTACACAATGTGATTATAAATCGGCACTTCATTTGATTAAGTTGTGGTAGAAATATTTCTTAGTTTCATGCTCCTATTAAAGAAAAACTCTTTTTGCAACTTATCATAAATGCGCGTAGCTTAGCGCATTCGTGACAAGTTAGCAAAGAGCTTATAATTAATTCATTAAATACGCTGCAGAAACAAAAATATCACATTAATAAATGAAATTGATAATTCAGCGCAGAATTATTTCATACTTATCACTACGCATGACAGTTTACATGACATGACGTAACGTCATTCGCGCCATTTCAAGTCATTCAAAATTCCAAACGGAATCTATAGTGTATTTAAAATAACAGTCTCTCCTCGTAAATGCGTTATTTATTCATTGTTTGTGTATATTGTAAGATATTGAATTCTTTTTATGTTGTAGTTTTTTTCCATCACCGAATGACAGTAATCAAAACATCAGATGAATGTGTAAACAGCTATTCCATTCATACAAAAAAGTAGTTCCAACAGACCCGCAAGATGGCATATCAACATCGAATCCGACAATCATTATCAAGTTGGCGGAGCTAGATTTTTTTCGATCGATCTATCAAAAGAAAAAATCGTGCAAACAACGAAAAATTAATTATAGATAAACGAACCTCCTCCTCCGCCACCTCCACCTCCTCCGAACACTGTGAATGGGGGAGCGCCACCTCCGGGCGAGCTGTCCCCGGGGGAGCCATTTTCATTCTCCAACAGATGTCCTTTCCAAGCAGCCCCACCTGTGGGACCTCCGCCTATTTGAAATACAAAGATACAATGCAAACTATGGCAATACTACAAAAACACATCCCACAATCATTTACTTCAAAGTTCATGGAAATATGAACATTTTAATGAATAGACAGAGACAAGACGAAAACGCCAGGACTGTATATCGAATTAAGTTGCTTGTCTAAATGTCAAGTAGGTTGATATCAAATAAGTTTATCGTCCAGTTTCATTCAATCCTAAATCTGAACTCAAAGTTATATCTGTTTACATGAAGTATACATAGACATTATTTGTGTTTTTAATCTGACTTACTTCCGCCCCCACAGTAACAAGCACCTGCCCCACCGCCGGGACCCCCAGTTGGCGAACACACCGGACAGCACGTAGCGAAGCACGTCCCACATGAAATACAGCACGGACAGTTCCTTAGTCTCGCGCATCTCCAAGGCAACCATCCAGGTCTACAGCAGCACCAGTAGAGGACACTGAGGCCGACTATGAGACCAACAACGATGTAGAGGGGAGTAAAATCTGGGGGTGGAACAGGGGGCGCTGGGGTCGTCGTTGTTGGCTTTGGCTTTTTGGGTTCTGTAATCACATACAAGTGCGATGTATACATGTTCCCCCACACGTGATATATAACAATTTTTATTACATAACACGCCGTATTTGATCTATATGAACTTTAATCAAATACTTTCTGATATTTCCATGAAAAAAACAGAGCTCACTGTGACATCAAAAAGAACGTCACATGAAAATCCCCAGAAGACGTTGACTTCATCGTTATAATGTCATCTGGCTGCGGTAGGGGCAAGGAAGTTTGTTTTGTGTTACTAAGAGAGAATTAAAACAATTAAAACAAGATGTCTTAGTAACACATACCGGAATGTATTCAGTAAGGACTTCTAAACCATAGTTTGGCTAAACGTTATATGAAGTTCGTAAAAAAAGAAACCCTGCTGCGGCAAGTTTGTTTTAATATTTTTATGACATAAGTATGTAATAAAAGATATATATATTCACCATTATCACTATACCACGAGAGAGAATGATATATCTGTTATCATGTTAACTGGTCATGTGATAAAGAAAATCACATACAAAGCGGTCACATGATGTCACAAAATTAGAAAAAAAAGTTAACGTCATTTAAATAACCAATCATAGTATCAATCTGTCCACAAAGTTTTCCTTAAGCGTTAACAGGATTTAATTTTTTTACGTTTCATGTTGGTATAAAGAAAACCCATCGTGTAAACTGAATAAATACTATGATACTTTTATATCAAAGCTTATAATTAATTTCTTAGATAGGAGTCAAAAACAAAAATAAAACATGGCTGTATAAATTTGATAATTTACTGAGGGATTATTTTACTACAAATCACTACGCATAACAGCTGGCGTGACATGACGTGACGTCATTGACAGCTAAATCGCGCCATTAACAGTCATTTAAAACTCTTTCATAAGTGGTCCCGTCACATTCCAAAATGAAATATGACAAAGTGTAAAATAACATTTTTCCCTGATAAATCTGTTATTTATTCATCATTTGTTGTTTATTAACATTGTAAACTATATGGATACTTTATTATGTTGTGGTCCGTTGGTGACGGCGATCCACACACCCAGAGAATATAAACAGATAGTCTAATCATAAAAATGAAGATCAAATAGGCTCGCCGCAAGGTGGCGTGTTGCCATTGATTCCTCCAATCATTATCATGTAGGTACATACAATAATGGTAGAGATGTCGTTATAATCACGTGTACATGTAAGTATATACAATAATGGTAGAGATGCTATAATTACGTGTACATGTAGATATATACAATAATGGTAGAGATGTTATAATCACGTGTACATGTAGTTAATGAATACATTTACAACATTACCAACATGTTATCGTTTGATAATACCGGAGACAAATAATTGTTATTAACACGCGTTTACAACAGCTGAGTTAAGACTTCAAAGATGACGTTTAAATTACATGACGTCATGCGCATCGTAACGTCAAGATATTCGGATTATTATTTTTATTTTTTTATTTTTTTTTATTTATATTTATACTTGTCTGGTAATGATAATATGACTAACATATGTAACCGCGGTGGATTCACGTGCACATCGCATGTTATGAATACACACACGTATACCAATAAATGACAGCCATAACCATTATAATTACGATAATAAAAAAGGACGGGTTCAGATCTGTGTGAGGGCCAAGAGGAGGGACAGGGGAGGCTGTGGATGTAGTAACAGGCTTTTTGGTTTCTGTAATTATAAAATTGTGTCTTTTACCATGTGTACATATGTATATGTATTGTTACAGACTATATATACTTAAACGATAAAAATCAAAATCAGTCAGGCGCTGGTTGAACGAGATATAAGAGTGAACGGTTTGTTTTGTATTAGTTACATGTAAGGTTTACGGCAGACCACATATACTGATGCTTTCATTTTGGATTATATTCGGAAATATATATGTTATAGAGAGAACATCATTTCTGATGTAAATGGTTGGCTAAGTGATCAAATCGTGCTGCAGGAATAAATTTAGTAAATGTTTTCGGTAAAGAGTATTCTTCATAAAAAAACGTCATCTGCCATTAAATCTAGTTTTAAGAGAGGATTACATGTATAATGACAACAGTTTAAGTTCCATGTCGTAAACAATAGTTTAAGTTCCATGTCGTAAACAATAATTTAAATTCCATGTCGTAAACAATAGTTTAATTTCCATGTCGTAAAAAATAGCTGAACTTCTATGTCGTAAACAATAGTTTAACTTCCATGTCGTAAACACTAGTTTAATTTCTATGTCGTAAACAATAGCTTAACTTCCATGTCGTAAACAATAGCTTAACTTCCATGTCGTAAAACTACTACTACAAGTCCATTTGAGAGTGGACCCATTTGTCTTTTGCAGGCCATAAGAAGAGTAGATGACTTGTCGAGATTAAGACGTCCTCGCGTAACAAACCTTAAGTCTCGTCTTCTCGCGGCGAGAAGAAGAAATAACGATAATTTAGGTTTTCGGTTTTGATTCTCTTCTTTTCGCTGCACAAATCAGGCAGTTTAGTGCCAAGCGACAATGTATCGCAACTAGTCAACTCACCAACACTGTCACACCGACCAGATCGTTTGCGATAGCTGGAGTACATACATTTAATGAATAATAGTTTACCTACGAGACGTCAGTTACGTACTGACAATGAGTGAAACAGCATCGAGGCGAACATTTTTCTGACATATGTGTTTTAGAAGAATGATGACTTTTACGTTTGATCGGTTCAGGATTTGGTGGATCTACTGTGTCAGTATAACGGACATCCACTATCAAAGACATCTAATGTTCTCCATTTCTGAGGGAGCATCGTCTCGCCTGATGTCATCGTCGGAAACCCTCGAGACTCTTCACGACTTCGTGGATTTTCGTCTTTTGTAGGAACTTAATTATCACAAATAAATATCGTTCAGACATGTGAGCCTCGATTTCACTCCGGTCCCAACTGCGAACACGTGTAAGATGAACTAGACAGAAGAATTCGCAATTTTCCTGGCATCCCTACCCAACCATCTTAATACACTCTCCTAGTTATCCAATGATCTCGTGACAGAATGGAATTACCTTATAAATTATATAGAACTTAGGTTTAGAACTGTTTCAACTGTTCAATGTGGACAAACTCAATAGAAGGCTGATTTCAAAATTAGTTTTATTTATCTTACTACACGCGAAGTATTATTTTGTTTCTAATCTGAATAAAAATAAGGCGTTTTCCAAAATATTATATATTGATCATTAAAAAGCAACCTTTTTAATCAACCTGTCTATTCAACTTTGAGTTGCTTGATTATTTCAGTGTATATACAGTGGATGTGACCGAGAATATACATGTGCGCGCGTGTGATCAGATTACGGTCTACAACTAAACAATGATTGGTATATCTCCTGAACAATGATTATACTTCACTGGCGAGTTAGGGAACACTTTCTGTTACTATCTATTAACGCCAATGAGGATTTGTTGATGTAGATAAAATAAGTACTTACTTCCACAATTTCCGGGATACTTCTTGCTAACATCCGATGAATCTTTCGGGAAGAACTCGGTGAGACAGTTCTTGGAGTACCAGTAATCACATCGAAGAGAATCATCTAGACATCGCTTACTATCGTTACACATCATCACCACGCCTTCGACCGTTTCATTACATGCTGAAAAAAGTAGAATCAACATAAACAGTTTGAAATGAATTAAAATATGATATGATCATACATTATTATCATCTCTTCGACGAGGAGTGATTTTGTCGATACAATGATTAAATATTTAGCTTCACACATCACTTTTTTTGTATCATTTTCTCCACAAATATATTTCGAAACATCTAAGTTGCTTTTACCGTAACCAAAGGACGTAACGTCGAGCTTGAAGAAGACCTCAGGATAATCGAAATCGTCCACAGGCGTCGTTGCTTTTGGATCAAGCGTAGCGGAGGTGTCAGGTGGTAGTGTTGTCCCGTTGCCAAGGGCGGGGTTTCGGTAGTCAAGGTAGAAATAGAGAGTGATGTACTCCCCCTCCCACTCATAGGATGGCGCTACAGTGTCCACCCCACAGAGCGTGAAGAACTGGGTAGCGGCTGCCTTGTCTTTACCATTATACATCGTCACGTAGGCCTTCCCACAATCCTTCGCGGTCGTCGATCCGAGCCTCTTTTTCACCTTTGGGTCATGGATTAGAAATTCCCGCCAATAGATACCCATGTAGCGCTTTTCTGGTGGGAACACTCCTGGGGTCGCCGGCATACCGCGCACGATCACGGTACATTCCAACAGCTGTCCTTTGAGCTGTTCCGCGATGTTGACCTTAGGTTTGGACTTCTCATTAAAAACTAGGTCCCTGTCAAACTCAAGATATGCTCCAAAGTCAGGACCAAGCACGTGACCACAAGACTCCGTCACAAAATCTGAAGAAAATTCAAATACCCAATTTTCAACATTTTTTCACACATCTGTCCTCTTGGTTTCAGAAACAAAAAGTTAAAGATGTTTGCTGATTTTCCTACGAATATAAGAATTTTACAATCAAGCTATGCCATAGCCAAGAGTCTTAAGTCACATTGAAGTTAGATATACCACTCTCCTTGATGGTAATCATGTTATGCAAATCATTTAAACTTCAATTATTGAACTCGTTTGATAAAATCTATAGTACTATTGGCGTGACACTCTTACAGAAATTTCTGTTTTTAAAGTTGGGCTTCACTGCCCATTACAACCCTGGTAGTTCCCGTAAGTAATAACACGTATGTCATGACGCCGTACATAACACAAGTTGTTTCCTAAGTTTAACAGGGTAAATAAGCAGAAGACACTGACATTTTCGGCAAAATGATGTTATTGTGTATGTAATGTTGCTTAAATTAGTATTTAAGAAGATTTGAAGTGCGGAGATTTTTTTTTCATTTCAAAACACGCGATGGATTTGATGAGTGAAAATATTCTTTGGAATTTTGGATCAGTCAAAACGCTATCGATTTGAGTTGACTTCAATCTCCAGTGTTGTCTGAACTTCTACAAAATGAAATGAAATGAATGTACTACATTATATTTAGCATCCATAGATCCCTAGACTTTCCCAACATAGTTCAGTAAAATACTCACATCTTTCATTTCTGCCGTCACTTAATGACACCTGGAGTAGAAAGAAAAGAAAATAAGAGAGAAGGAACTCCATGTTGCTTAATAGTCCTGATCCTGTATCTGTAGAACTCTATAGTGACGTCCAGCTCGTTGTTTTTGTGTATAAAACACCTGAGTTTGGTATATATGTAGGGGGTCAAATAGGAGGGGTTTGTCAGTTTTATATAGCTTCAGTTTAAACACGTGCAATTTACCAATACGTGCCAGTACAATTGTACAATTATCCAAAAATTATCATTAACGAGTTTATTTTTCGAAACTTCTTTTCTTGAGCTTCATTCATTTTCGAATTTATTTGATTTTTCTCCTTGTGATCCCCAAATGACAGACCCCATTTCTAGATTCACAACATCACGCCGCCGTAGCGAGGCGATTCGCCTGCCCCTATCAGGAATGTGCAATAAAAGGAAATGGCACGGTATAGGAGAGTTCGACACTAGTGCATATTCTTGGGAGCGTCCACTATGTGTATACAATACTAGAAACTACTAACAGTGGTGTTGTGAATATTGTTATACATCTTTCAATATGTATAGTCTTCTTAAAATACCACAAACGGCGATACAGCTTGTTTGAAGACAACAGTGACACATTTAAATGAAGGATACCGTAAACAATCCTGCTGCTATGTCGCCGCGATCTGTTATAACCGCTGCCTTTACCCAATCCTACATTGTGTGTGGGCGGTTACTCACCTTTCATAGAGTTATTCTGTTCGTGTGACTTGTAATAAAGTATATTTTGTAGAATTTCCACTTGGTTTTAGCTTTTTCTGCGATGAAATTGCCGAATTAGTGTCTTCTTGTCCATTAGTGTGAAGTTTTAATGAAATAACGATGACATATGAATTTTTCGTTGTTTGTAGTTATTTACAATAAACATTTTAGTCACACCTGACATCAAGCTTTTTTTTAATAGTCGGTATTTCCTGTTTTTGTTATCCTTAGCAACAAGTGACGAAGATTTAAAGAGCTGTGATACAGATGGAAACGTAAATATCGATCCGTTCGTACTGGGTATTGTAAACTAAACACATATTTCGCTGATGACTGACTTAAAAGGAAGATTTTCCTCGTGTACTTACTAAGAGAAAACATTTTCTATGTTATGCTCAAAATATGAGCTGTACGGAACCAGATTATTCATGCTCGTGTTAGATACAGAATATCAACAGGCATACATATAATAATTACTTTATACAATCTGTCGCTCAATGTAAAATTTTACATTTATCTAGAGTGTCCAACCATTTAATATGGCCGTATTTGTTATAAAATGGCATAACGTCAGTAGTTGTTTTGTTAACAAGCACGTTACCATTGTTACTCATGTAAACGACAATCAGTAAGGACTGAGGGGACAGTAACTCACTCACGTCCACTACTCTGGGTGATATTTTCCAGTCTCATTTTGATTCCAGGAACAAATCGGAATGTAATGATAAAACACACAGATACATTTATATCTTCTTTAGATATATTTACATGTGTTTGCGAGAATGTTTGCTCTCCTCCAACCCCTTCGTCGCGGTTCAGGACCAGCCTGATGCGAGGTATTTGTCTGTCAACTTCTTTGGATCATGATACATACAAGTGCACAATCACTTTAAAGATAATTTGTCTAACAAGTTAGTAGATTGTTAGTTACCAGTTTATCTGGTATATATTTCTTTTGCTTGTAGTGTTTGGAACATACATTTAGTAAATAATAAATGGTTTATACAGCCAATAACCAACAAAGGACGTTCATTATTACCATCATGTCATTTATGCACACGAATGAAACGTGTACATGAATCAAAATTAAAGCCTGTACAGGGGTGTAGGGCACAATATATGATAGATCTTCGTCCTAGCCATAAAGGCGGTCACATAGTTAGTCCAAATCTCGCGTGACTTTGCATTACCGCGCATCACACCTACTCTCAAAAGACGCAGTTTTTAATAACAAAGTATGTACAGTCACATCGTTCTTGGTTTATACTCAGTCTTATCTGTTGACAAAGATAGTAGTATAGTTTATCAATCCAAAGGTACGCACATCGTAATCAAGATATGACGGTCACTTTTCTCGTCCGACTGGCCTGGATTGTCTGGTCATTCGGATTGGTCGCCGGACACAAACACGCCAAACATTGGAAATCAGGTAGCTATGTTACGAAACAAAGCATGTTTGATATGAATTATATAAAAGGACAAATACGAGATTCTATAGACGACTTGGAAATCACTTCATAAACAGGAAATCTTCATAACAAAGTAAAGTGTTCTGAAATATTTCGTCAATTGTGTTGAAAGGGAATTCAGTCTACAGACATTACCAGTGACAAACATCAAGCTTGTCAATAATAACATAATCATTTTTCGAATCACCGTATAGAGAAAAACCACTGCTAGAGCTTAACTCGTGGCAAATCCTCAGGAAGGTTTGTTTGGTCAGAGTCATATGAAACCGTCTTCACGAATAATGAGGCCACTGGTGGACGTTTTTATAGTGTCCTCACACTGAAATGCCATAACATTTATATAGCAGAATCGTTGTGTGCTTCACAAAATAGAAGCTTCATTTGAAAATGGGATTTTCCACTATTTTTTTTACACTAGTCTGCCGAATATAGTGAAGGTGTGGCGACATACAATTAAACATCTTCATCGTTGTCCATGTTGCCAGTTTCAGTGTCTGTCTTGTGACCTCAAATTCATGCAAATCTTTTTGAAAAAAGGCAAATTAACTGTTAAGATTTGAAGCTGAACTATTGTTATTGGAGCACGACTTTGTCCGCTGGAGCTGGATTATTGATATTATCTATGTCATGTCTCATTGAAAGTTCGGCCTAAATTGTTCCTGTGTCATCGAGAAAAGAAACTTTGTGATACTGACAAAATTAACGTTAATCTTACGTTGTTACAATTTAAATATGCTATTATGCATGGATCACGCAGTCAGAGTCTGTTGACAGTTTACATGCAATCTTTTACGACTAACAGACGAGCTCAAACCATAATACGTCCCGACTTTTGATTGGCATATTTGAAAGAAGCTTGAACGTCAGCCACCCCCTGGTATTTGAGACTTTGTATTATATGTAGCATGTATTATAAACCTCTCTAAATCTTACAGAGTTCCTGGAGGACCACTGCAGTCGTAAGATCAAACTACACTTGTTTCAGAGATTTGAATTGACACGTGATTTGTTCTACAAACATGGATGGCACTGTGACGTCACACTGGAGGCACCAGCCCATCACGTGGTGGCGATTGCGTTTCAGAAGTTTGATATCGGTCGCTCGAAATCGGTAGTCTGTGAAGACGCCTTACGAATATATGACGGTAAGTAGAGTGTAGACAATAAGAAATTCAGTTCTGGTATGATTTTGGTGTGAAGGTTGAATGCTAGTCATGCTTTTAACTCTCCATATAGCGTCAATAATTGGTACCGGAAATTACATTTTTCGTGTCGGAGTACGTCTCCATCTTTATAGTTACACTTAATAACATTTTATGTGTTTCTAAATGTGTACTGTTTGTTTTCAGGTGATAGTATAAGATCGTCAACAAACAAAGGCCTTTGTGGTCAGATGATACCGCAACATGTCATGTCCAGTAGTAACACACTGACCCTCAAATTCAAAAGCCGGTACATCACGACTGGTGCAGGTTTCACTATAGACGTCACAACACTTGGAGGTACAGTTCTGGGATTGAACAACAGGGTTCCGGGAACTGTGGTCAGGAAATCACTGTCCGTTCTTTTCTGATGTTAGAAAATGATACAAAACCGTCAGGGGTTTAATCAGAATGACGAATGATATAATCGACAAATGAGTTGTAATTCTAGTTGTAGTTTTTCTTATAACATGACGTTGACTTTAATTTCTTCAAAATCATTCTTTTCGTTGAGGAAGCTGAATCCGTACCTCGGAAATTAGTGAAACACTGGGCGATGAAGGAATTTTTCAGGCCAAGTTACGATTTTAAGCTGTTATCTGTTCCAGTTGCTGAAAACGATAGTGATTCCAATCCAGATTCCAGTTCATGTCCAGACAACAGTTTCCGGTGCATGGAAACGTTTTGTCTTGACCGAACTTTGGTATGTGACGGTGTACCAAACTGCCGCGACAAATCAGACGAGTCTGCAAACAGCGCAGGCTGTGCAGGTAAGCTATCGCCTAGCAATGCTCTATATCAGTTTTTGTTAATTGTGTTCAACACAACAGATTAACATAAGGAGCTGTTTGATGTGCCGAGGTATTTACTTTTTATTTTTCAGGGTTGGGAGCTAGTTGGATCGACTTGAGCGTCGGAGCGAGAGTAGCCATATTTTTTGTCGTTTCCTTTCTCCTTATCGGAATGTGTGTAATGATTATATACTGTTTGTGTTGTCCAGCGTCAGCCAAACCTGTGGCCGCTTATCTATCCTACAAAAAGATTTAGACGGAGACATATTTCATAAGTGTTTTTGGCTGTAGACAAAATTCTGACTCTGTCCTTGGACATATTATATCATCACAGTATTACCACAAAATTGGTCTGTTCTTTATATCAGAGGACTCATAACTTAAAGCAAAGTAGCCTCGAAGTGTTAATAACCCAGTAGAAATCCCTCGTCAAAATCCAATTTAGACGGTACGAGTGTTTTTTCTTGTTGAGTATTTGTGAGTTTTGAGTCATTTTGTGAGTGTATGATGTAAGATCATAGATGTACAGATTTCATTACCTACTACCTACTAACTGACTGTACATCATTCTTAATTGAACAAGTAAGGTGGGGTGGATGATAATATATTTGGAGTTCAGTTGATATATTGCATCACCGGAGACAGATAAACCTGGTTCTGCTAGAAACAAGAAGTGCTGCGTTTTTCTGACAGATTTTAATGACAAACTATGACCAGCTTCCCTCTGTCGTTGCTGGTTGTGATACTGTCTTCTTGAGAAAGGCGATGGATACAAAAGGAACATTGAATGTACGAGGATTCTAACAAAGTACTTAAATATAACTTTCATCAGCAATGACTATATGCACATTATATAAAGACGAGATAACCTCTGTCATTGTACGGATAAAGATATGACCAGATGTGTGGTAGTGGAGCAAGAAAGCGGCACCAAACAGTCCAGAACAAAGCACCAGACTCGTGTGACGATTTACCTGAATGGACACAACGGAACAGCATACCCTGTACCAAAGGCAAGACCTTTTATCACCATTCGAATTAAATTTTAATGACAAGGCTCTAGCAGAATTTGGATTTTTTTGTAGTCCATGTTTAGAATTACCGCCTCATGTTCCTGCCAAAAGGACCAGAGTCAAGTCATTATTAAGCGTCCTTACAGGTTGACTTATCCACATCCTTAATACTCTTTGTTTACATCTCGTCAAAATATAACTACGTCTTCCTGCTTGTCTTTGTCTTATTTCTTTCAATAAAAAAATGTTGGAATAATTCTGAAGCATTCTTTTGATTAATTCGCCAAAAAAAGCGAAATAGTAAGTTAAGATGCTTGTGATAGGAAATCATCGTCAAGACCTGTGTCCCTTCTTATCAGAGCGTATATCTCGGACGCCCGAGCCTAGCTCTTTTAATACTAGGTATAGGAGTAAAATCAGAGACTTGACATAATTACCTCCCTTTCAATATGTGTTGCCTTTATTTTTGATGGTCCGAAAACCGGAAGCAGTAATCCATGGAAAAATTATTTCAGAGCAAGTGGAGAAACCGCGGCGAAATAGAGTATTGGTTTGATTATCTAAATCTGAAGTTTTAGTTTTCAATTATATTTTGTAATGAGGAAAACAGTTTTTAAAAATAAAGTCAAAATGCATCCTTATCAGAGTGAGAAAAGTATAACTTGCCCGTCCGGACGCCTGTACCCAGATATTTGTATAACCAAACTGATATCAGCATACATCTTACAAAGTTTGCTCTGTTCAAACGTAAATTATTCTTTAAATTAACACTAAACACATTCTTGTATCACTGAAGACACGATATTTCGACGCAGTTAAACAAAATAGAGAAACCGGTCGCATCACCAGCATGATAAATACAATATAAAAAAGCATTCGTCTATACTACATGTATATTGTAATATATAAAATTATCACCGTCTTGAACGCTGGAAGTTTTTATGTTTGCTACTTATCCTAAACACTTGTAGAGAGTAGATTACAAATATATGTTTTTTCTATTCAATTAAGGAAGTGTATCTCTCGGTTCCGTGTTAGGAACCGCTCTGCTATAAACATCCTGATCATCGTTGTCGAGCACTAAAGCTTCATTAAAATCCCCAGAAAAAGTCCAAGTTTATCAAGAACAACATAACAACTGAAGGTGTCACCACATGTTACATCCCATCTTATATTTAGAACGTCAATCAACAGATACACATTGTAGTCTACTAAAGGATTTAACGTAATGAGTATCCTGACCGTGAGTATAGGAACAAGACACGGTAAGACACGAACATCCTACATATGTCAATGAATGAAGCAAGGAAGTTCTAAAAATCACTCAGGAGAGATGTTGATAGAAAAAAGACAAAGTAGTGAAGATCGTTATCACCAGGAATCTTTACAGTGTTTTCTAACTACTTGGTAACAATTTGACATGTTTATAGAGGTTTGGTAAAAACGTCTACACTGTAATTTGTTATGTCACTCAAATTTTCACAGAACGTCTGTGATGGGTTAAGACTGTGTCTTCCTGAAGTGGAACTCCATAGCTAAAGGTGATTGTTTACAAAGGCAGAAACGGCTATGTCATAAAAATGTGTAGGACATTTAAGTTCTTACTCCTGACTTCCATATGGACAATATTCACTACATACTGTATAGAACATATTCTCCATCATAACTGTACAATATGTTGGAGTATATAATGCTAACATCACAGAACAAAATAGACACAACAATCAAGTGGTACTTTTGAATTCTTTATTACAGAAAATTAATTTACATGTTTAATCTTATCAATTTAAGCATCAACAAATAGCTAGCACTAAGAGATTGTGTTTTATGTACAAAATGTTATCAAAATATCACATAATATACACCAGCATTCTGGACAGGACAGAATTAATGGATTCTCCAACATTCTGTCATCGACTATTTTTCTCTGTTCCCTTATTAATGCTGACATTCCTTGGAGACCACAGAAGCACCAGACTAAAATTCTACCAGTTTGGTTTCCTTATAATCAACTCCCTAATGTGATGTTCCTACTGTACAATCCCTGGATCGTCATTGTATTGCTCGGTAGAGAGAAATACAAACACTATGGTCTGGTAAAGATAATTCAACATAAATTGTAGATAAATCATAAATTATAATAGCGGCAAAATACATTGTTACCATGGTGATAGAAATTTCACCATCAAGAGAACAGTATTACTACTAAAGTGTGGAACACAGATATAACATGACAACAAAGACTGTTACCATGGTGATGAAATCATTGTAATTGAGGTGAATTTGATAGTAATACACTTGTGATTTATCATGGTCATGATAATGTTACTATGGTGACTGAAAGTGTTACCATGGTGATGGACACAGAGCTGATGGCCAGGTAGAATTACCAGTATTATTGCACTTTGTTGATAATAATGATGAAGGGAGAAGTGATTCATTTTCTGTACAGTAAGGATATGTTGTCTGTACACCAAACATCATCAGTTATTACCAAATGTTCAGATGAAAACACAAAAATGACAGAATATCTTATTCCTCAGTCCTACTCGCTTGAAACAATCTACCAAATATATTAAGCCTTTTGAACAGAAATAAATAATTGTTTTAAATTTCTAGCCTCTTATTCCTGAGTAAGGAAAACTTGTCTAGAAACTGAGAATTTAGCTTTTTCTGGAATATCAATATGAGTTAAAACTTAAGCCATATCAATCTGTATACCTCTGTAATACCAATATGTACACCGGTTTAACAACAGGTATGGCAAGTACTGTATAGTAGATAAAACTACACCGTAAGGAATTGTCCCCTAGGAAGGGTTCTCATGTCCGAGTTGGAAATTTCACTCCAGACACAAAATTTCATCCTTGTTAAAGCGTTTGTGCACAGAGTCTATACTATAAACTTAGATGAAACAAATACAATATTATTTTAATATCAACAACTTAATCATGATGTTGGCACTTGGATGGAAGCGGGGAATCACTCCTGTTTATTATTGTGACATGGAAGACTGAATATTAACTGTTTAACCTCTTCATTCATCTTACTTTAAAGAATTTGTGACGAAGGGGTTCCAAAACAAAATCTCAAAATACTGATTGAAAAACCTTGAAACAGTAAAACAATTTCACATTGATTAAAGGGCAGCCGAGTAAAATATCAACATCAGGGGAAGACAGTATATATACATACTTCTGTTATAAATAACATATTAATATATAGGTAAATTAAACCAGGGATGCATGGTCACGGAAAAAAAATCTAGACTATTCCAAAACCAAATTCAATACACCCGTTACATGTATTGTAAAATTTTAGTGTTGTATCAGCTATTTTTTTGTAGTACACTACTGACTAGATATTCTGACAGAATGACTACGCTGGACTGAGTCAGATAAAACCGTTATCTTAGTCAACTTCCTTTTATGGCTTTGTGGTATCTTGGTTTGATATGAACAATTTAGCGAAACAAGTCTTTGGTAAAACTGATACTGTGTTAAATGTGTGATGGGGAATGATATGAGTTACTATGTTTCTATACATGTAGTATCCATAACAACACAGAGAATAAATAGTATGTTATTATCATAAACATTGTACACGTTGTGATGTTGTCATACAAATAAATACAACAAAAAGGTAAACATACAAATAAATAAAGAAATAAAAACTGAATTATGACTTTTTGTATTTGTTGTTCAAGCCTCAATGACTCACTGTTAAACTTGGATTATGAAGTGTGATTAGATCTACCCTAGAACTATTCCTTCTACAGAATCCAGAAGGAATATCAAAGTAGATAATACCAATCATTTTACTCCAATGGTTGTGAGTAAATCCCAACCAAATCTACCCTCTTTGTGACTCTTTACTTATCGAAAGTCAAATACTGAACGGTACAAGCTATGTACAACATACATCAACATGCAACTTGGTAAAACACTTGGATTATCTCCCCTCATTACACTTTTCTTTAGTAAACTGTTTAGAGTAATACTTTTAGAGAGATCTTACATCCATTGCATCTTAAACCAGGAAGCAAGTCCTTTTGATGAACTTCATTTCAGATTTTTTAATTATACTAAATTTAAATATAATGTAAATGTAACACTATCAGTGTCAAGTTAAAACTGATCACCCATTTATCTCAACAAACTTACTTGCTGTGTTAAAGTTCACAAATGGAGATAATCTAAACGTTTCTACTGTGACTACATATTGACATAATCGAAAAATAAGTAAACATTCACAGTTCAGATATCTATTACTGCAATAAAGGTAGAATCATTTTTCTATCTCTTTGGTAAAAAAAAAACAAGTGGTCTCACACATGGCTAATTTATCTGTGTGAATCACAAACTGAGAAAGCAAAAAGTATCTTTTGTTGATCAACAACTGAGAAAGCAAAACGTATCTTCATTGATCAACAACAATACAACCTGTCAATAAATTTTTAAAATCAGATCTATTTGTTGTGTTGAATCGTTTGGCATCAGAGTTGTCTCCACTTCCATAACTAAATCTGTTGTCCAATTGATCTGTGACCACCAGGGGTAATGTGTAGTTGTTGATCCTAATGTAAGTTAACGGAAGAATGACCCCTTGACCTCAGATCTTGCTCTGTGTTTCTTTTTCAACAAAATCCTCTGACCTCTGTTGATTCATAATCATATACATTTGATCCCAGATATTGATGAGCTTTGATCAGCTGATCAGTATGACTTCAGTGTTGCAACGTTAAGCCTGTTGTTTCTGAAATGACAAACTGTAATCTCGCAAATCAAGAGTGACTGTTGATGAGCAGTAGCCATTCTGTTTCTGAAAGGACCGACCATGATCTCGCAGATCAGAGTCGAAGCAGATGAGCAATGGCAGTCCTGATGTCTTCTGGAAGGGGTGACTTCGATCAGGAAGATTAGAGTCGAAGCAAACGAGCAATGAATGTCCTGATGTCTTCTGGAAGGGGTGACTTCGATCAGGAAGATTAGAGTACGAAGCGGACAAGCAGTGGCCATACTGATGTCTTCAAAAAGGGCTGACTTTGATCCAGCTCAAGATGAAAGACAATCAGGTAGTATGTAAATATAGCAATGTCCTTACACTTGTGTCATACCTGTAACAAAGAAAGTAAACAACTTATTAAAGTGAAAATAGAGACATAATAACATCACCTTAACTAATTAAAAATTATCCTTATAAGGAAATCCCATTATGATTTTATGTTTGAATTGATTAAAATGTTAAGCTGGCCTATGTTAGTGAAATTATTCTCATTTCAAATGGAAAATCATGTTTAGTGTTCTATCAAATGTGATACATACATCAGTGCTGACAGGTTCGTTGCTATTGGACAGAATAAGTTTAGATTGTGGATGGTGAATGTACTGTCTGCCATTTGACCCCTGTCTGGAGATGTCTAGAGTACCCTGACGATCATTCTCTGAACCAGACATGTCTGTACCTATTCCACTTTCTACAATATAAAACATTATAGAAATTATTAGTTTTTAAAATTCATTTTTACATGGTGACATTTAGGAATATCATCAGTATATAAAAACAGTGACAATAGGAGCTGCACATAGAGTTTGTTCCTGATTGGTTTCAAACACACAAACTGGATATTTAAATTTCCAATAAAATAAAAAAGAGAGAGAAAAAAATCCTTGATTCTAACATTCATGAAATGTAAAGATGTGATGTCTTGTCATTGAGCTTAACTGCCATAAATAAATATAAGATATATATATATTTGAGTAAAACTGAAAAATCTAAGGTTGCTTTACCAATAAATAAAATCTAATATATATACATGACACTCACCATTTGACATACAGGCAATAGACTGACGGCTGCGTGGACTGTCAATCATGTCAAAGTTGGGTCCGAGGATGCTGACCATACCCGAGTGACTACTACTGGATGATGAAGTACTACTGACAGAGATAATGGAATGAGGACGCTTATTTCCCTGGCGAAGGTGTTCAAAAGATGTCACAGCCACAGAGTTTCTAGTACGAGCTACAAAAAATAAAATCATATTTTCTTAGGCTTTTTCCAGGATGTTTTATTGTCAACAGAAAAACAAAGGAAAAACATCCATTGTATTGCATTTGTTGTTCTTCGTTGTTTTTCAAAATTATGAAAAAAATCCTGAAACATCTGTGTATGATATATTGAGCAATTCTTCTTACTATTCTGATAGCAAATGATAGAGTGTCTTACTGACGTAAGTCTAATTCAAGAATAAACATCCAGACAGAGCACAACCTAAATACTCTAAGGATGATACTGGTACAATGACTTACCTCCCCTGTTACCAATGGCGTAGTTCAGCAGCCTATCCTGAATGTTGTTAGCACTTGGTTTAATGTCCAGACAGGGTTTGTTTCCGACACCCATGGACAACATCTCGGTCATGTGGTTCTCTGTAAGACACACAAATACAATGAGTTATAAATTCATAGCTATTTTTTTCAATTGATAAACTGCAGATAAAATATCCCACTATATCATAATTATATCACAAGACCATATACTGTAATATATATTTATCATTCAGGGTCTATAATTACTGTTTTGTGATCCCAGGCTATTTACCTCGGTTTTTAAGTGCCTGGTTCCACAGGACACGGGAGATTTCCTTCGTCCACTGGTGACGTACGTCAGAGCTAGGAGCCTGAAGGATGTAGTTCTCCCCTAGGGAACGTCTTCGGAACCAAATCTCAAACTTGTACCCACTACCCTCGTAAGCCTCTGTCAATCCAACATCTGCCATCTGTAATGCATGGGAATAATCAAAAGTCAATCAAATACATTTCATGTTTATTTTGAAAAAATGGTAATGTGTCTAATGAAAGTGTTTTCTCACTGAAATGATTTGTTATCAATATCAATGACATTTAAGCTGTAGAGAAGTAAAAGACACTTGGTTTCGAGCTCGGAGACACTGCATTCTCTGTATTTATAATAACCCTACTTGACTAAGACTTCCCCGTACCTTGAAGCTGAACTTGTAGTGGTAAGTGTCCGGACTCCCATTACGTCCCCGCTGTGTTTTACTAAACAGTATTAAGTCCTCAAACAGAAAGACATGCCGCATGGATTTCCGTCGTCCCTGCCACACAAGGAATTCATCCTGCCGCAACAGACGACCTTGTTCTTGGAGGTTCACATCACAGTCCCGCAGTGAATCCATAGCTAACAGGTCATTGCCATGACGGAGCTGAAACTTTACCATCTCCTCTGCAGCCTACAAACAGATGTCAGGTAGAAAAGAGATTAAGGATTACTACATGAAATCTATTTGCTCATGTGAAGTTTACCATAAAAAAATGTAGATATAACTGAATGGAATACATTGTCCATACCACACCACTTATAACAAAGCCAATGGTCAGTGCTGTAATGTATTGTCTATATATTATCTATAAAATCCCTCTTTTCTGTTGACAGGTCTGTTGTAAATTCCTTTACCAAGTCTTCACATAGAAAACAGTATTTGACGTTGGTGACCTTGACACCTCACTGTGACCTTTTATACTGACCTTGAGATCCTGGTATTCCTGTTCCGTGTGGGGACAAGCCTTCATTATCTGTTTGATGAGGAGAGCATATTTGCCCATCCTCTGTACTGGCTTGAGAAGGTAGGATGACAGATCCATCTTGTCTCCCAACTGTAACTGTTTTTCCTGTGGGTACAAGGTAAGCCACAAGGTTAAAGTGGTTGAATTATGACAGTTACTGTGAAATCATCAATTTTCACAGGATTTTTATTTTCGTTGATTCCATGGGTACTCTTAATCTACAAATTCATATGTCCATAGAATATTAAAATTAGTATAGATTTATTGAGCCATAACTATCCACAAAATAAAGTGTCCACCAAGCATTAATTTTTGACAAACCATGTAAAAGAAATTATAGTTGGTAGGTTTTTATACAGGATCAAGCCACCAAAATGTTCATTACCAGCTTATAAACAGCTTGTATTGGTTCCTAGGATATTGCTAACACAGAAGTATTGTTACCTCACCGTTAATTTCTGTTTTAGTGGGCAAGATACAGGGTAACATTTAACATAATGATTAAGTTTGAAACTTACTCTGAAGAAATATTTCCCATATTCTGCCATAAGGCTGTCTGACTTTGGTTTGTTCTTGTTATAGATAGCGTACAGGTAGAACTGACTGGCCTGTTAAAACAAAAGACAAATATCATCACAACCTGCATTACAAATTCTTTCAAAACTCGCCATGGTTATACTGTTATCTAATTACAGCTGATGTGTGGATGAAACTTAGAATCATAAGGCAAAGTCAAACTTAATACCCTGTGCTACCATGAGAAATATATATTGTTAATTACTTCGTTTTTAGTGAAAGCTTTAATTCACAAACTTCCCTCTTCAGATGTATCCATTAATACACCATTTATTAATGGTGATCTAAAAATTAATCACACCTTAGGAACTCACACCCGTTGAAAATTTTCCCTGTTTTCGACTTGAAACAATGTGTAAAAACTGAAGCCAACTACCTAAAATTATCTCTTTAATTATGATTAATCACTCTGTATTTCTCCGGCTAGATATCTTTAGAAGACTTACGTGCATGAGGAAGTACTGTGCTATCTGGAATGGGTTATTCTCACAAATTTCAACTTCTCGGAGAAACATCTGACGATGAAAATGGTAGATTTTTTCCAAATTCCCAAATATGACATTCCTCTTGCCTCTAAGGGCCTGTGGCACATCGTCTCGTTCTAGCTCAGGGACATATTGCTCAATGATGAATTGGAGCGAGCAGACATAATCACGCTCGGTTTGTATCATTTCACGCATCACATGGGCCAGCGTCCTGATTGGTAGAAAGAAGTCACATGTTAATTTGATCAAATTAAAAATATAACCTAATCTACTATGTAATATGACTATCTTAGCAATTTAACAGGGTGATATCTGTCAACAAAACCTGGTTCCCTTATTGATCATCCTATGTATTTATTATGCATTGTGAGATGAATAAAGTTGTTGTACTCTGGAATGAGTCTTCTGATTTACTTCTTTGTGCCTCAGTGTTTTTATCTTATTTTCCTTCTTTCTGTCTGAGGGTTTTAAATCTTACCGTTTGATTTTCTCTGTGCCTGAGAGTTTCAGATCTGCCAGTGAGCCTGTAGGAATGCTTCCATTTTGTGAGATAAGATGAGAGTTAACAGGGACTGGGGTGAAACTCTTTGCAGCAGGGACAGAGACTTCACAATTCTCTGTCTCCTCTTCCTCAGGCATACTGGACAGACTATCTGTACTACTGGTAATCATACTGACTGTCCGACCATCGTCCTGTCTGCCTGACCTTCTCTCCGACCTGTGAGTCTGTGGGTCCTCTTCCTCAATGATAGCCCCACCTGTAAATGGTGGTGCCGTTGAGGTTCTCCGAAGCATTTTCTTCAGGGGTCTACTGTGAGAGGTTAGACTACCCGGTCCCTGGTCATGCGAGTCCTGAAGTGTAGGAGCACTGCGAATGCTTCCCTGGGAGGAGTGATCACTAGGACTTGTCAGGTCCTCCCTTGATGACCGCATTGTGGAGTTATTTAATATCTTTGGTATAGAGGCCACCACTCTGTCCGACATGTCTTCTGTGATAAAGGACGAATCACCCTCTCCAAGGAACACCATGTCCTGTGGTGTTAAGTTTGTGGGAGGTAGGATCGGACTTGTCCCACTGCTGCAGAAGGATGGAGTACGTTCCGAGCCTGAAGACGGAGTACTGGCTGAACAAGGTTGCCATACAGCATTATCACCATTTACACTAGGGTGTCTTAACTCTGGAGAACTTATAACACTAAACTGACCACTACAATGCTGGTCAATTTTCGTTGGAGAGGGCTTGGTCTCTAGCACCATTTTGTCTTTGGCCTCTTGCAGTGCTGACTGCCGGGCAGTTAGAAGGCTATGAGTCTCTTCACAACGAGCTCTAGCAACACGACACTGTTCCATCAACTTTTCATTGCGGAGTTTCTTTGCCAGATCCATCATGCTAATAAATGTTTCCTCTTTCATCATAGGATGGTCACGGAGGTAGACCTGGAGGCTTCGCAACAACTTGTCCAGGCCCTCCACGGTACTACAGTGTTCCATCTTCATACTTGCCACGTACTTCATGGCGTCCAGAGCCCATTCATAAGTCTGCAAACACAAAAATGTAACATCAGTATTCACTCAACAAGAACAGAACACATTCATGTGTCTTAAAAAACAAACTGCCATTTCTTTGATTTCAAAATGACCAGACATTCCTCAAAATGGAAAATCCATGGACTTATAGAATGGATATTTCTGTAAGATCCTCTATGGAGAAAAGCAATGTCCAGATCTATCTTATCATCAAACATACATGAAAGGTCATAACTCGGCATTTAGCTGGACTCAAATAGACAATACCTGTATACAACACTTTGTCTTAAAGGTAAATGAGCATGTCAAGTTGACTGGATGTACCAGGTCTGTGAAATATGCAGAAAGTTATGCGGGACAAACATTTCCAGCCAAGTTAAACATCCATAACATATAGCATGCTGTTATAACAAGGTTAGTGAAAGTAAAGATACAGGGTTATAACAAGGTTAGCGAAAGTAAAGATACAGGGTTATAACAAGGTTAGGGTAAGTAGTGAGACAAGGTTATAACAAGGTTAGGGTAAGTAGTGAGACAAGGTTATAACAAGGTTAGGGTAAGTAGTGAGACAAAGTTTTAACAAAGTTAGGGTAAGTAGTGAGACAAGGTTATAACAAGGTTAGGGAAAGTAGTGAGACAAGGTTAGGGTAAATAGAGAGAGAATGTTATAACATGGTTAGGGTTTGTAAATAAAAAAAAAAGGTTATAACAAGGTTAGTATTTGTAGAGAAACAAGGTTAAAGTAAGGTTGACACTCAAGTTATGCTATTAGAGTTGAAAAGTCAATGTTGATAGAAATGAACATCAAGATGTAGACCAATATAGGTAGTTGCCTCAGAAACACTAACATGTAAACTAATATAGGTAGTCGACTCACAAACATCAAGATATAGACTTCTATTGGTAGTTGTCAGGCAAACAAGATGTAGACTAGCTTCTATAAGTAGTAGTGAGACATATGTTGTGATATCACACTATCAGTTTATACAGAGACTGTGTGAAGAATGACACCAATGTGAGGGATACGAGTAGATCTCTTCAGACATCTTACATCTGACCAATATATCCAGACAAATCAATGAAATAGGCAACCAACCTAAAAACCGACTCAAATACCAAACCGCCTTTAATATTTTCTCTGAAGCAAGGGATCGTGTACACCACCCCTAAATCTTTAATTTCAGTCTCCATACTGGTAAACAGTGTGTCATGTTATATCACCATTTTAAAAACCTAGAGGTAATACTGCATCACACTACATCTAACATCATAAACTCTCAGATATCTTGGTAGCTTCAAACATTTTAATATTGATTTCCTTCTCTAAAATGTTTATACAAGATGTATATATTTTTAACAAATTTTTAAAAATGACAAAGAGACATTACAGATGTAATCTCAATATACCAAGCTTCTAATAAACATACTGTTCAACATCTATGTATCATTTCAACATACTTCAAATACACAATGATTTTGCACTGAAGATAACTTTGTGTTCTCAAAACTGAAAAAGAAATCCTTGATAAAACAAAGTTGAATACTTAACAGAAAACTTACGAGCTAGCAGGAGGACAGTGTTTTCCAGTATGAAGGGCGATACCGCTTTAACTAGCATTACATTACATAGACTTTCTGAGTGAGGGACAAGTGCCCACCCTACCACAACAGGAAGTGACCACTACATGTGATTGACAAAAAATATGGTCTATACCAGCCGTTGGTGGTCTCTTACTTGGACAGAAAGAATTGTTTGGTGCAACAAAGGTTCAATGTGGACAATTTGCAAACTACGTAGTTACAGTCAACCTCTCTTCCATATATATATATATATACATATAAGTAAAGATTTAGAGGGATGCTTGCTCCATCATCAACACACGCTACTGACTGTGTTCTTTGTTCTGTCTACTTATAGTGATTCTGCGGTGACACTTTAACCCAGACGTGACATTGTTACGTGTCTCCACCAACAATGTCCACACGAATATAGCCACAACACTTATCGGAAAAACAGTGGCATATTCTACACAAAGAAACCACATGGTTATCTTGAGATACCGTTGAAAAGTAATCCATTTTATTAGTATCCATATAAGGATTTATACTGATAATATAAGTAAATGTCGTACGTATGACACACGTTTCGTTATTTATAACATTTTGACGCACGTAGAAGATGCATTTAATCTAATAATGACAGACGTACATCAAGCATTTTCCAATACTTTTTGTTTGATATGTGACTTCTTGAAACGAAAGATTTTTATCATTTTAGTCAGCCTTTGGTGAGATAAAATAAACAATTCGTCACAAGTTTCATCAAATATCCAATAGAAACAAATCTAACAACATTTTTATCACATGAGCGGTTTTTTTTAACAAAATATGGTAGAGAATGGGCATTACTTCGTTAAGCTTTGAAGACATTTTGGCTGTCAATTCTAAGGTCGCCATTGCTATGTCACAATTAATTCAATCATTGAATGTGTGTCATCATTTCATTTTCTGAAGTGACATCATAATAAACTATATCATACATGTTACATTTATCATCCTCTTTATCCACACACATACATGCTACATTTATCATCCTCTATATTAACACACATACATGTTACATTTATCATCCTCTTTATTGACACACATACATGTTACATTTATCATCCTCTTTATCAACACACATACATGTTACATTTATCATCCTCTATATCAACACACATACATGTTACATTTATCATCCTATTTATCCACACACATACATGTTACATTTATCATCCTCTTTATCCACACACATACATGTTACATTTATCATCCTCTTTATCCACACACATACATGTTACATTTATCATGATATGTAAACATAATATTGTAGCATGATGACACAGGTAACAGTAGTAAATATATCTGATACATGTTCATGTTTTAGCTGTTTATGATACTAAGACAAAATCATATATACTTAAAATGATAAAATACAATCACCATGACAACATGTCATAATGATAAAGACTCTCACAGACATATCCTACTCATCATGTAATGAAAAATACCAATCTGACAACACATAAAACTTATCTCATTTTTCTTTGATGGACGTGTGAAGAATGGGAGCGACATTTTAGTCATCATCAACTTGGTGAGACTTAGGACCACCATGACGGACAGCATCAGTATCAACAGAAAGATAAACAACACCACCACCATGTTTACTTCCTATGATACCAAAGCAGATATTCCAGCATCTATCAGCAACAGCAACACCGATTCCATTTCTGGGTTAAGCAACTCTCCCTTTGGCAAATTAATCCTGCAGTTTTACACAGAATTCTTTCCGATAATCTCAAAATCCTATCCATAGTAATTTGTTTCTATACTTTGTTTTAATGAAGAATCCAAGTTAATTCCAATACTGTCTCTATTTTACAGACTACAACCATAACTGATACATCTTGCAGTTGAACAGTTTTCATCAATTCCATAACCACATCTGTTTTTTTCCTGCAGTTTTCACACAACTATCCACAAACAGAAATTTCACTACATATATAACAATGCAAATGGTTTTCTATAACAAGCTTCTGTTTCCTTATAGAATCAAGAAAAATAATCCATCACACATAACGATCCAGGTTTAATCAGCACATTGTTTCCAACGCTAAGATTAGTTCTTTTAAATAGTCCATGAGCATTGCTCCTCAGCACTCTGACATGAGTGGTGACTGCGACAAGGCAGCTTGGACTGTTCCAAAGACCTGGAGAAACAGCCAACATCTGCACTAGACCAGGCAATCGTCAATCACCACTACAAAACCTATACCAGCGCGATAATTCCTGAAAATGCAGGAAACACACTAATCCTATGCCAGTTGAATCATTAAGCATTCTTACTGAGATACAAGGAAATTCCACAGGATTTTACCATGGCTGTTCAATTTTTCATCAACTTAACACTAACTCAAAGAAAATGCTATCTCAGTAAGGCTTGATTGATATAGAAACAAGAAACCAAATCTACCCATGTAAGGGTAAAATTACTACACTTCAAAAAAAAAAGAATAAAGGAAAATATTGATCATTTTGAAATTTTGTAAGGGAGTTGGTAATACCGATATGAAGCATGTATATATCAAATCAGTAGGCTGATTATACACCAGCCGCAGATTTCAGGTAAATGTCGATCTCAACCTTTATGGAATTGGAGAGTGGAACAAAGGCACTAATTAAGCCGGATTGCCTTGGATGTTGATTTTGCTGTCTGAAGAGGTGTATTGAACCTCGGGAGATATCTGGATTCCCCTCTCCGATGATGTCGATCTGGTTGTCATGCAATGTATTGAACAATCTTTCAGCATTAAAAACCTCACAGCTATCATACCATCTCACCCTTCAAAACACAGGCCCCACAATGGCCGTCTGGGAAACATCCCCCTAACACACAATAGCTTCTCAATTATTACACGTCAAAACAGAGGCACACTTTATAGACAAGAGTCTGTGATAAGTGGGTTCAACATGGTACTCAACCTTTATTTTGTTATATTTAATCATGTAAAATTTTTACATAGTGATAACAAAACCATAGAAAAGATGATCTAGATATGTAGTGGCCACGTTTTAATTAAAGCCTTGAATAAACTCTACACATAAAATACAACAATAGCGAAGATGACCTTGACATGTACTGACTATATATGAGATGACCTTGAGATATACTGACCATAAGATGACCTTGAGATATACTGACCATAAGATGACCTTGACATGTACTGACTATATATAAGATGACCTTGAGATAAACTGACCATAAGATTACCTTGACATATATGGACTATAAGACAATCTTGAGATAAAGTGATTATATCTGAAATAGCTTTCAATATCCTATAGACATGTAATATTGAAATAAAGAAAATAATCTTGAAATATACAGTCTTCAAGATGACTTTGAAATATACAAACCATAAGATGACCTTGAGATATATAAACTATAAGATGACCTTGAGATATATAAACCATCAGATGACCTTGAGATATATAAACCATAAGATGACCTTGAGATATATAAACTATAAGATGACCTTGAGATATATAAACTATAAGATGACCTTGAGATATATAAACCATAAGATGACCTTGAGATATACTGACTATGGTTTAATTAGTCTTCAATAAATCTTTTAATACAACCATGAGAAGGTGACCTTGAAGTAATATACAAATTACATACTCTAGTAGTTTTGTTAAACTCAAACATCATGGATTTTCCAAACAACTTAGAGCCCTTGGCATCATGATGTTGTCACAAAATCAAATACCAAAAATCCATGTCAAATTGTAACACCTGCTTTTAATTAATTGTTAACCATACAAATTTGTGAACTGAGCTTCCTTTCACAATGTTAATGATTCTACAATACTGTTAAATCATTATAAAGTATCATCTGTAAGTGTCATAGCTTTAGGTTTTCAGAGAGCACCTCATCTTTCTTTTTTTAAAAAATATGAAGACTATGACAGTAGATTTGAACTATGATGAAATCTGATTTTATTCAAATTAGATTGATATTATTGATAAGTTAATACTTTACCCTTCAGGTTAAAGATATTAGGAATAAAATTGTTTTATTCCATACTTTTGATACAAAAGTCATTCTAGTTTAGACCTTGGCTTCCAGAAACTATGTTACAATCAGAAATCTCATTCAATACTCTGACAAGATTTCCTGAATCTTCACATAAAAAGGGTGATCATGTTGATCACATCACCACAACTGACAGAAATATGTGTGTCGACAGGCAACTTCCTTGTACAGCCATGTAGAACTCATTTTTACCACCTAAAGCTCTGTCTGATGTTATTTATAAATAACTCATCACTGAAAACAGCACTCCTGGAGAATTGACTTTTTTTCTTTACCTTTTCCTGTCTAATAATTTGTTTTAGAGAATAAACCAGACACATCTATATAAATGTATTTAACTTTTTCGAGCTTTGAGTGGCGAGGGTTAAGGGCAGGTTTTATTATGAAACTGACAGAGTGTTTTTCCTGATTTCTCTGTAAAATGAAGTCTTTCAAGTAGAGAATAAGGCTGTAAAGCATTGGACGTGATGCCATTTTCTGCCTGATAGTGTACGAGTTAAAAGTCACATATATCAAGGATTCATTAGGATGGTCTTCAACCTAACTGAAATCATTGTAAAGAGAATATGAACTTTGCAGTAATTCTATGTTAAAATCTCTCTCATCTAAAATTGCAGAGTTTTTTTGTAAATAGTTCAATAAATGAAAAACAACTTTTATAAATATTTGCTAAAGCTTCGTAAGTTATTTAATAAAAGTATCAATCAACCTGATGAATGCTCCTGGAAACAACTTTATTTGACACAAATTTTTAACAGAGAGCAATAATCCTGTAAACAAGGGGTTTCAGGCCAGGTACACTCTACATCCTCTTTGTATGATCAACGTACAACCAAGTTTCATTATCATAGATATGAACTGGACACATAATTTTAACAAGTGACAATAGCTCTGTAACTGAAGGGTCAAGGACCCTGAATGTGGTACACTACTCATTGCCTCAACATGATCAATGTATACATCATGTTTAATGATTCTTGTGTAACTACGGGCAAAGTTATGCTTCGTATATAAAAGGACAGACAGAAGGTGGATGGGTGGACGGACAAAGTGGACACTATATCCTCCCCTGCAAATAATTGGTTTGGAGAGCAGGATAAAATATAAAGATTTGTAACATTCACATCCTTTGGAATTGGGCAATATTTGAATTAACAAGAACAGGAAAATACAACATAATCATATTATCATCATCACATTCTTAACGGCCCATCAACACATAAAAGGACATTAGAGCCATCAACCGGTGAAAGACACAGCGATCCAAAAGTAAAATAACATCAAACAAACTAAAAGGTAAAAGACAAGTGCTGAAAATCTTAAATGGTTATATTAACATAAAACGTTAAAATGGTGAGTCACCTACACATAACATATATATATCCGAAAAATAGAATCAGGATTTGGTACGTAGGAAGTTGGCAGTGTGATTTACATCCATGTCGGATTGTTAGAAAGACTGAAGTATTGATGTATCTATGAGACATATTGGCGAGCAAATCTAGATGTTCGTATGAAAACAATCAATCCTTAAAATGAATGCTAACTATAACATGTCAGCTCCATCATCAGATACACAGGAACCAATCACCATAACCTGACATTAAAACTCAAACACAATTACTACTGCCCAAGATAAATAGAAATCAACAGGAACAGTTGAAATCTTTACCAACCATTGTATCATCAGTTATCTAATGTCCTAACATAAAACAGAAGTACTTCTATACTCATTAAGATCATCAGATGTACGATCTATCTGAGGTAAAGGAACTATTGGAATATTTGTTATTTTCCAGGTCAATAATTCTATCCAAATTTTATAAAAGTCATCTAAAACATTACATTTCTGAGAATGCCAACATCAACTACTGTAAAATATCACATTTTTGTGGTGTTAAATTTTCATGGTTATACAAATTATGAAGAATTCACCAAACAAAAAAGAAAAGCTCCTCAAAGGATTATCATCTAGATGAATATTTGCAGTCTGAATTGTCCATACCTCCTTATGATAATCAGCAGCTATCAGAATTAAGATTCTACAATGCAGGATTCCCTGTCGAGTACCAATATATTCCATGGCAAAACTGAAGGTTGATGAGGCACCAGCTACACGTGTGTGTAATTACCTGGACCAGAAGGCCCTCTACGACTCATTAGTAAAATGTCAGACATATCCAGCCCCACATCAGGTGCAACTTATATTTCTGTAAAATCTGACTCAGTAAAATGTGACCAGGTAACACAGTCAGTGATGACAGGAGCCAGACAAAGACCAGCTTTCCTCACCTGTCAGAAGCAGGGATAAAACTGGTCTCTACATGACAGGTGTACACTATACCAATATAAAACCTAAATAATGCTTCCATACCTGTTTGATTTCCTACCTTGTGAATATAGGTCATGACCTTGAAATACAGAAATAACCATAATCTAGGTTGAATTCCAGTTAATAAACAGAGTGTGTTTATTGTAACACTGGGAGGTCCAGCTTGTATAAGGTACTGTATTAGTTAAGTTGGAAGATGTCACTGACACACCTGCATCAGATTTACCGAAACAAAGTCCACTGGAGAAGTCTTAAGTCTTGATTAACTGAAATGCCTGGGTCTCTTCCCATGACCCCTAAACCTTCTAACCTATGACCTCTGATCAGAATTGGTTGACTTTAAATCTCTTACCTTGTCAAGAAGACTGTAACATCTAGTGGTGGATTCGATGCGTTCACGTGTCTCCTCCAGTCTGCCTGTGAACAGTTGCAGATGTTTCTTCAGGGTGCGGGCCAGTTCTTTGTAGCCAGTCACCTCGTCAAAGTTGCCAGACTGGGCGAGCATACTCGCCTCGTCCAAGAGGTCATTCCCCTTCTCTATATGGGTCTGTAACATACAAAAATGTAAAATTCATAAACTCATGAACCTAGAATGTCAACTAGAATGCTGCAGTTTCGTCAGTACTATATGTACAGTATATCTGGGTAGTGGTGGGATGGGGTAATAGGGGTGAGTGGGTTCAAAGTTCAAAATATATTGTCACAGCAATAGTGTGACTTTGTGAGGAGAAGGAAAAGTAATGTTAACAAAAATGAGGGTTAGTTTACCAGTTCATGCTGTAAGAGAAATGTATTGAATCTGTAGTTTATAACAGTGATATAAAGCATACATATACAGACTTCCTATAATATCAACTCGCAGTCAGTCATCATATGAAATTGAATCTTCAGAAATCTAGATGTATATAACAAAACGGTAAAATAAATTTTACCACACTGATATACCACAGCCTGGACTGTAACCAGCAATGAGTAACAGACACATTATAAGTACGATATGGAAGGTGTCAAACACCCTATAAAACAAATAGACAAATTACAAGTATGTTGTGTATGGTAGCTACATGCCCTTAAGTCTATCAGCAGTATGTAAGTATGACGTACAGGTAGCATATTTAGTCATAAGGTGATAAGGGGTAAGGTAGGATACACCCTTAACTTTAACACAAATCACATAAATAATACATATAAAGCTGCATACACCCTTAACAAGTTGTAGATATGTGTTTAGTTGGCTAGGTCCTTCATTCTAAAACAAATCTAGATATAACATGAAAATTATAAGGTAGCATGTATCCTTAATCTAAAGTATCTGATCATGTTGACAAAGTCTTGGTTCCGACCTGATGTCTGTAAATCCCCTAAATCTTTGAGGATATCACTGCCTGCCAATGAGATCACGACAAGCAAAATACTCCAACCTATCATTTTATCTCAATAACAGTGATGTGTATATATATATATATAAATGAGTCATAAAATGCCTTATGTTTTATCCTCAACACAGAGTTGTGTGCCAGTTAGATGGTCTCTGTGATATACTCGAGAAATAAAAGTGACATTCTAAAGGGTTCACATACTTCATGTTGGAAACTAGGTAATTTGATTATCCAACCAATCCCCATTGGTAAATAAGAAACGTTTTCTGTACAAAGGTGCAGGTGAAAACCTGGTACATGTAGGTTCAAGCTCAGTAGGCTTTTAATCTTTTATGATCTACAAGTGCCATTCAGCATCTCAGTGTTCATGGTGTACCTTCTCCTTTTATCTTAAATCAATTGACATAAATCTTACAAAGGGACTAGATATATCTGACATTAAAAACTGGTCACATCCAAATGAGCCAAATTCTGCACACGCTTGACAGCTAACATTCAAATCTTACATAGTTACCATAAAAGAAGTGGAAATATCAACGTCATGTAAAAAAAAAAAACAAAAAACCAGATGTTATAGAACCTAAGGAATTGATCAGCTAGGATGTTTCAAATTCTTGACCAAGGGACATAACTGTTGTTCAGTTATAAACTAGAAAATGTCACCTTAAAACAAGCTACTGTAAAATCTAAGTTCACAGAGGATTTGTTTTTTTATTGATTTCCTAGGTATTCTTACTCCATGCATTCATGTGTCCACAAATTGTTAACATCAGTTTATCTAAGTAGATTTGCTGTGCTTTATTTATCCACAGTCAGTGTCCACAATTATAGATATATCACAAGAAACCACGAAAATTTAGCACCATGAAAAAGATATCATTTTACAGGAAGTTGCTTTACTGAGTAAAAATTCTAATGCAGCAGGCCAAGTTCATACCTAGAAGACTGAAAATCAGACACACAGACAGACATATATAGAAAACTGATAATCAGACACACAGACAGACATATCTAGCATACTGACAATAAGACACACAGACAAACATAGAACTGATAATCAGACACACAGACAGACATACCTAGAAGACTGATAATCAGACACACAGACAGACATAGAACTGATAATCAGACACACAGACAGACATACCTAGCATACTGACAATAAGACACACAGACAAACATAGAACTGATAATCAGACACACAGACAGACATACCTAGAAGACTGATAATCAGACACACAGACAGACATAGCTAGAAGACTGATCATCACATAGACAGTTAGACATTCGCAAGATTACAGCTTTTTTTTCAGTTTGTGAAATTTAGAGAAGAGTGGAATTTCTTAATGTTTCTTTACATTTTCAGTTTTTATGCAACCAGTAATAACCCCTATACATTTTAGCTTCTTTTAGATTTCTAAGTTTTTGAAAGTTTTGCTTTCAACTCTTTGTTTAACTTAGACGCCTGCCTTTTTCTTCTTGGTATGATGTAGTTACACAAAATCTTAACACATGGTTTTAGAATCATTTGATAAAAATCAACTTTGATGATATATAGACTATTGTGAAAGTTGTATTCAAATACAAAGTTATATCAATAGAGAAGAGTCATGTTTCTGCGGAAAAGTTAAATTCTCTCTACATGTAGAACTGATATCAATACCTACCCACCTCAACAGTTCTGTTACAACTTTCCTGGAAGTGACTTGACACCTCACCTTCAATATCAGTGGAGTATAGGCAACCTTAAATTGACATCAAATAATCCATTGTCCTTCACATCATCCTGTTTCTATTAGAATGTCAAAGGTTCATAATGGTCACTCACGTAGAATAATACCATTCTTCAACCAGATCTCATCAGTGGTCACTTCACATCAGAACTATTTAGAAACCGTGCTGATTGGTCATTCAATACATGGTCAGTCTCTCTGGCCACATCTCCTTAACACTGGACCCGAGGACATTTACCCCCATATTGATTTTTTAACATAAAACACTAATTGATTTCCATAGCAACCCAGCTAATGTACAGTGTGGAGCAGTGTCTGTCACCATAAAGTGATGAAAATAGACCATTACTTCTAAGGACTTGATTAAGACAAACATTTGGTTCCTGTCACTAATTTGTTACCTATAGGGAGCTTCATTGTGCCAGACTTTCTGTCATCAATGCTTTACAATTAAAATTGTCCAAGACATAATTCTTTACTTAAAGTCAAAATGAGGAGATAAACATTTCAGAAACCTTTCAATGCTGTCCCTATGAAGTTATACACTGAATATACAGAAATAAGTAAATTGCTACCAAAGATTTGAAAGTTATGGTACAACTGTAGACAAAGAAACATCTATATATATCTTTTTGACCACCCATAAAGAGTTTGATGACCTTCAATGTAAGGTTACTTGTTACAGAGCTGTATATACTACATGCTTGTTTTAAGGGTTAGAGTAGATTTCATCTATCCCTGATTACCTCCCCTGGAGTGATGGGTAATATGTATGAACCATACACACACCAGGAAAATATAACAAGGTTATTACTACAGAGACACCAGCTGGCCTGGAGTCTTTGATAGATATTCTGATCCCTGGTGTGTTGGTAGACAAGTAGTGTTCGACCTTAAAAACATTAGGTATCCCATTTATAACTACTGCAGACTAAGGCCAGTCAGATATACTTGATATATGTTGATGTAATAACAGGAAAGTTTCAGTGATTAGTCAATCATTTATGCCAATCACCACCTGACTAAAAAAAAAAGTTTTCCTAATGCAGTAAAAAATGAAAGTGGCATTACAGATAATATTCTTAATCTGGACAGAAATCACAACTACAATATGAGATAACAGTCAACAGGAAGCCTCAGCTATATTATCATGTTTATTGCTCCAAACCAGCTAGATGAATCAAATGGAAACTGCAATACACAGAAAATGCTACAGAGCAGAAAAGCCTCCAACATACAGCTTGTTGATAATATAATGAAATCGATACCATTTTATCAGTTATTTTTCTGTATATCATTCAGTTAGGAAATGATATTCCCCTTTCATACTTCTGATCAATAAATGTACTGATGCATATCCCTTGCTAATGGAAAATGTGAATTTTCTATTTTCCAAGATTTCTTATCTTCTTTTTTAATTTCTAAATTTATATCTGAACATTAAAGTACATCATATAAGGTCAACAGCAGACTATAGTGACCTAAATCCTCTGTTTAAGATTAGGTCAGTCTGCCATGGGTTTTCACAACAACTGAATATTGACAAACAGTCAAATGTTCTTCCTTTACCCAAATATGACATTAGATCTATCGTAAATAATTCAACAGTTACAAAATACTTCTTGTAGTTTCTGTGAGAAGATATTTGTATATGTTTACTGTTTCTAAAATATTCCAGGAGAAATTATTCTGAAAAAGAAGACTTCCAGCAGGTCAACATGAAAAACGGCTGATTACAGAAAGTCAGTGACTTACTCAAAGATCATAGAGAGGTCACTACATTCAAATGCATGCTGCTTTACGGAAATCACAAGTAATCTTATAGCTCTCAAGAAATGGAAGTATAGTCTGTAGATCACATATCAGGGTCATCTTCTGGTCATTCAGTGGTCATTGATCAGATGTATTAAACTGAGTATAATAGTTTCACACATCAAATTTTCACACAGGGTTTTGTTAGAAATTCTGAAGTTTTGAATAACTATTCACTGAAGATAATTTCTGGTTCAAGTTATTCTTAAAAGAACAAAGATTAATCTGTTACCTCATTTGTCATGATACTGTGATAATAAGTCTGGGTACATATGTCCACCATTCCACAAACACACAGTACTTATAACAAGTTTTACAAACTAACACTGACTGTTGACACGACAGGTGTAAAGCATTTGACCACACCTTCCATGTAACATGCCTCCTGAAGAATTTCTGTTACTGATAACAGGAGATCTGGATCATGGAGTCTCATATAAATATAATATCTATTTATATACAACGGTTTACCCCAGACTTCTATCTTAGTAAACATAGTTTGGATATTTCAGTAATGACTTCAAACATAACATGAGACAGTTATATCTGTTGAGTTATAGAACATGGGGGGAGTAAGGAAACACCAAAGTTCTTTATGGCATAATCATATGTTTTTTTAATATCATTAAAGAATCAACAGCTAAATATTCACTGTATTCCTTTTCACATGACTGTGAGTGTAAATTGTGGTAAATATTGAACATGGGTTTTATATCAATAAATAAGTCATAAACATGTTTCAAATTTAATTTATTGGAAAGATAAAGCATTCCAAGTACTTAAAGAGATACCAAATAATTTATTAGACAAGTCAACAGAACCTGAATCTGACACGCTATCTGAATGCTCATTTCCAGTATTTAAAAGCATTGCCAGTTAAATGTTTGGGCTTATAAACTGAAAGCATATCAGCTCAATATTATAGCCATGAACTTTAAAGTGTGATCAGCTTAATGTTTCGGCCACGAGGCTGAAAGTACAATCAACTAATGTTTGGGTCAAGATACTTGCAGCCTGATAGCTGATCAGTGAAATGTTTGGGTGAAGAAGTTTGAATCATGATCAGTGAAATGTTTGGGTGAAGAAGTTTGAATCATGATCAGTGAAATGTTTGGGTGAAGAAGTTTGAATCATGATCAGCTAAATGTTTGGGTGAAGAAGTTTGAATCATGATCAGTGAAATGTTTGGGTGAAGAAGTTTGAATCATGATCAGTAAAATGTTTGGCCAAGAAGTTAAAAGCATGATCAGCTAAATTTTTGGGGCAAGAAGTTTAAAGCATATTGGTCAATTTAATGATTTAGCCAATTAATTCAAAGCCAGCTCAACTTGAATTCAATATAAATTTGAGTCATCTTAATTTCAAAAATCCTTAACAAGAAAAACAAATATCCAAATTAATAGGGTTTCAGAAAATTTGAAAATTAATTATTTCAAGTAAATGAACTGATCATAGCAAATATTAGACAAGCTCAGAAAATTACATTACTATGAACCAGAAGCTTAAGGTAAAATTTCAAATTCTCTTTTTCATCAAAAAAAATTCACAATAAATGCAAGCATTGGCATCTGAGCTATCTTGGAACGAGCGAAAACAGAACTTCTCATAAATTTTAACCTGGTACAGCTGTCTTGAAAAAATGAGAAAACATTCCGCTATGGATCGAAATTTTGAACATGAGAGACCTGGAATTGGAGAGCTACAGGTTTACAGTGCTACACAGCACTGATGTAATTTGTACTTGTTTCATGAATAAGACCTGGATATTTAACAGCTGCAGCTTTAAACTTGTATTGGTATTATATTGATATTGACAGAATGTATTGGACGTTTATGTCTGTAATTATGACTTGCCTTATTGTGCTAGGAAACATAAATGGTGGAGGTTTCTACAAATCAAATATGCATCTGTAATGAATTGGACCTTCTCAGCTAAAACCATCCGTGTTCTATAACGCTGAATAAAATTTGTGTGGTGCTAAATCTAATAATGGTGTAAGTGAGGAGATTGGATCGTGGAGATGAAGTTCTCTCGTGATCACATCAGAACAGAAGGAATTGGACTGATGTTCAATTCACCTGCTGCAAAATGATTTGACAAAGCCTCTACACAATTTCATGTGTCTGAACATTTAGGTTCTCTTTTTAAAACCTTTAACACAATCACATGTGTCTACATCCTTTGGCAACTGTGACAAATCTCATTACAATTAAATGTGTCTACATAGTTTGGTGTCTGTGACAAATCACACCACAATGACAGGTGTATACACACTAACTGGTAACTGTGACAAACCCACAACACAATTACACGTGTCACCAAGTACATTAAGATTCCTGTGACAACCCCTCAACACAATTACATGTGTCACCAAGTACATTAAGATTCCTGTGACAACCCCTCAACACAATTACATGTGTCACCAAGTACATTAAGATTCCTGTGACAAACCCTCAACACAATTACATGTGTCACCAAGTACAAACCCTCAACACAATTACATGTGTCACCAAGTACATTTAGATTCCTGTGACAAACCCTCAACACAATTACATGTGTCACCAAGTACATTAAGATTCCTGTGACAAACCCTCAACACAATTACATGTGTCACCAAGTACATTAAGATTCCTGTGACAAACCATCAACACAATTACATGTGTCACCAAGTACATTAAGATTCCTGTAACAAATCCTGAACACAATTACATGTGTCACCAAGTACATTAAGATTCCTGTGACAAACCCTCAACACAATTACACATGTCATTAAGATTCCTGTGACAACCCCTCAACACAATTCCTGTGACAAACCCTCAACACAATTACATGTTACATTAAGATTCCTGTGACAGTGTCACCAAGTACATTAAGATTCCTGTGACAAACCCTCAACACAATTACACAGATTCCTGTGTCACCAAGTACATTAAGATTCATTACAAGATTCCTGTGACAACCCCTCAACACAATTACATGTGTCACCAAGTACATTTAGATTCCTGTGACAAACCCTCAACACAATTACATGTGTCACCAAGTACATTTAGATTCCTGTAACAAATCCTGAACACAATTACACATGTCACCAAGTACATTAAGATTCCTGTGACAACCCCTCAACACAATTACATGTGTCACCAAGTACATTAAGATTCCTGTAACAAATCCTGAACACAATTACATGTGTCACCAAGTACATTAAGATTCCTGTGACAAACCCTCAACACAATTACATGTGTCACCAAGTACATTAAGATTCCTGTGACAAACCCTCAACACAATTACATGTGTCACCAAGTACATTTAGATTCCTGTAACAAATCCTGAACACAATTACACATGTCACCAAGTACATTAAGATTCCTGTTACAAATCCTGAACACAATTACATGTGTCACCAAGTACATTAAGATTCCTGTAACAAATCCTGAACACAATTACACATGTCATCAAGTACATTAAGATTCCTGTGACAACCCCTCAACACAATTACATGTGTCACCAAGTACATTAAGATTCCTGTGACAACCCCTCAACACAATTACACATGTCACCAAGTACATTAAGATTCCTGTGACAAATCCTCAACACAATTACACATGTCACCAAGTACATTAAGATTCCTGTGACAAATCCTGAACACAATTACATGTGTCACCAAGTACATTAAGATTCCTGTGACAACCCCTCAACACAATTACACATGACAACCCCTCAACACAATGTCACCAAGTACATTCCTGTGACAAACCCTCAACACAATTACATGATCACCAAGTACATTAAGATTCCTGTGACAAATCCTGAACACAATTACATGTGTCACCAAGTACATTAAGATTCCTGTGACAACCCCTCAACACAATTACATGTATCTATATGTGTAATTAGATCCCTAAATGCCATGTAATTACGTGTCCTTATGTTTTCCAAAATAAATACATTTTCAGAATCAAATGATACATCTAAACTCCCGACTCTCTAAGTTATATGGAGAAGGGAGGTTGAAATTACTAAGATTGTAATGTAATACATACCATGGCAGAATAGTAGAACTTCTCAAATTCTTTTTGCTGGGCTCGGATTGCTTTTAAATTATCAGCAAGGTTAACATAGCGCTGGAAGAAATCTTCACCACTGCCTGACACCCAGGAAAGCACCTGTAATAGACAATAAATGGTCACTCTCTGGGCACAGTTTGAGGTCACTCTAACTGCAACAGTCAATGCTTGTGTATAGGTCCTGGTCACTCTGATGGTAATGGTCAATCCCTGTAAATAGGTCCTCATCACTTTTTCAAGGACACATACTGCCCAGGCATATTTCAATGTTAAAGTGTTTGTTACCACACTTTGTAAAACGGTCAACACAATTAAAAGTTTTGGGCACAACCATTCGATGACAGTAGACCACATGCCCATCCAAACTCCTGTCACCATCTCTGCCACAGTATCACCTACATTTTAAAACTTTTGAAAACATCACAATTTTCGTCTATGACAAAGTTCCTTGATGGAAAATGGAAAAATAAATAAATGGTGGGTGGATTCATCTGATAGTTTCAAAAAGATGACAATGTTTCCTCAAAGAAATGGCATCCTGAAATGGCTGATATAATTCACAATGGTTTTCTAGTTCCAGAAAATATCACTGGTGAAAGATAAATTTTTGTAACACTGTCTGTTCGATGCATATTTCACAACGTTTCAGTAAAGTACAATTTACACTTGAAACCAAGTCTTCACAGAGTATGCATATATCTGTCTATAAATCATTATGGCCACCGTACTGCAGACTTAAGTTGCTCCACTTTACAGTAAATTAGCAAACAACCTGAGGTGGTGTATCAACCCTGCTACCTTGTGAGGTAACTCCTGAATTATAAACACTAGGTCTATACGAGATGTAATGTCTGACCTATGAATTTTCTTCTCTACCTTCCTCCTGAGGTGTCAATTATCATCATGAGAGAACAAACCTCTCACTAACATAAGTCCATGTTTACCTATTCACAGATTTAACCCCATCTGTCTTAGGTATCGAGTTACCAAGGATACACCAGACCCCTGTGGAAATCTGATTGGTCTAATGAGATTCGTACTTTTGGCATTACAGAGATTAATGTTCCTATCCCTAAGTATCAAAGGCTATACCACACATCTGTCTAAGTAGGGACCTCTGTTGATTTCAAACATGGATGTACCTTTACTTGAACAATCAACACCATTACTGAGCGCTGTAAGGATCATTTAGTAAAAACACACATGCCCTAATTTAAAACTTTGATGCTAAAATATCATTCAACTCCTGTTAGAAATCTTTGCAATCTTTTTAAATATTTGTTCACAACAAATATCCAAATCAACATGAAAAGAAACCCAGAGCAAAAATTAAAAAATATCTTCAAACCATAATTTTCACACAAAAAAAAATACCTTCAAAACATTATTTTTACACAAAAACAAATCTTCAAAACATTATTTTTACACACACATAAAAAATACATATCTTTAAACCATTATTTTCACACAAAGGCAAAATATATTTTTTTATTATTATGTTAAGCTTTGCCAAAACAACAAATTATACAAGCATTTACAACCACTTGTATATAAATAGAAAATATACCAAGACAAAGATTTACAGGATCTTACTAAGGTTCTGTGACGGTAAGGATATCAGACTACCACTGGGTATAATTGTCTCAGTCTCATCTCCTATTAGGGAAACCCTTCGTCTGATCTTAATACAGATCTGGCAATTGTACCTCATTATAAGCTGTATTAAATTTTATCAAAAGAAATTACTTAATTCAAATCTGTAGTAGTGTTAATGTATACCCCAGACAGTTGATAAGTACTGGCAAAATATACAGTAACCAGACTTTAGAGGTGGGTGGGTTGGGGTGAGGGGGTGGGGCTCTCCTCAAAATAACTTATGGATGTATCTCAAAGAAACCTAATTTGAAACAATTACACTGACTAATTTCCTCTTTTTGTTTAACAATGTTGGTTAATATATTGATTAAGAACAGATTCCAGGAATCAATTAAGGTCTGATGTTAATTAGTTTTCTTCATTTTAGTTACATATAGATGTTGCATTCAATGTGAAATCAAATTTCATTAAAAAAGAAAAATGAAAGATGAATAAAAAACTTGAAATATCAAATTAATTACAAAATGATGAAGAGATCAAATGGGCAAAATTATTATCAAGGGCCTAATTGAGGAACAATATACGCCCATCACCAGTCTTTGATGGAGAAGCAGTATTTGACTGAATGACTAAGTTGTCTTGGAATAATCTGAATATCATTTGGGGAAGTTTTAGCATGTCATACCACCATTTGCTAATATAGTATATATACTAACAAGGAGATTTTACGAAAAAAATCAACTAAGAGGGAATAACTCAGAAACTATGCATGCGAGGTGGGCACTTTTTATACGCATCACTCCGGCATCTCTAGACATACATGTGTACAAATTATGGTGACCAGAGAGCAAGGAGTTACAAAAATATGGCCCGGAAAAGGGAAGTTTACGAAAAATCAACTAAGGGGGAATAACTCAGAAACTATACATGTAAGGCGGGCAATGTTTATACACGACACTCCGTCAACTTGAGATATATATGTGTACAAAGTATGGTGACAATAGACCATGGACTCACAAAGTTATGGCCTGGACAATTATTGTTATTACATTCTTCACGGCCCGTCAACACATAAAAGGTCATTAGGCCTGGACAAAGAAAGTTTATGACAGACGGACGGACGGACGGATGGACGGACAGACAATGCCATACCATTTTACGTCTCGTCATACGGCGGGCGTATAAAAAGATAAAGTGGACAAAATGCTAAAAAAATCAATTGGATGAAATGTGAAAAAAAGAAGACAAAATTGTGTAAAAAGAGAAAAAAGGAGAAGAGATCAAATGTGGTAAATGAGAAAAAGATATAGTTTGTCTGTTTAAGCAAATGAAGTCAATGACATTTCCAAATAAATGAATTATCATCAACCAAGCTGTTAGGAACTTTTCAAGAAAATCCACAAAAATACACCCTTAAGCCTATATAATCCCTCTGGAATAAGTGTAGAAGTATACATGTGTAGAAAGCATTACTTAATTATCTGATGTAGACAGCTGGCAAGGCTCCACATTAACATTACTGTCAATATACGTAAAGATTTCAACAGACAGTTCCAGCTTTTTCTCTTACTAGACGTAGCGTCACCATAAAAGGATGAAGTTTACCCTAAATGGAAAAAGAACTAGAAAGACAGGTTTATTTGTTGTAATGCCCAAGGGACAGACTACCTAAAGTGACCGCCTGAAGACATTGTTCAGGGTGACAGTCTGTGGTGGAGTGTTGAGGAATAGTTGTACAATCATCTACAACCAGACAAGAGGAAATTGCCTAGACAATCCCTATATCAGTGTTATTATTTCTGTAGTTTGATATTAGTGCTACAGTCTGAAATATTGATCACCATACTTTACATACTGGGTGTCATCCTATTCTGATAACAAATGGTGAATGTATACATAGTGTCTTTTACTGAAAGACAACACTCTCGGACTTAATCAGCCCTAACTAACATCACAAAGCAGTTAAAAGTTATATTTCTTAAACATCTGTTTCGACTCAGGTTTCCTATGTCAGAGGCCGTAATCCTGATAAAACAAAATTTATTTCTAGTTACAGGTACCCTCTTTATTTTGTTTGTATACATACTCTCTTCCTAGATTTTCTATACTCTCAATACTTTATAACAGTTACTACAGGGTTATAAAAAATTTAGTATTCATTTTTCTCTTCTCTAAAATGGGAGAATGTTTGTTGTACAGTCTATATTTGTATTCTTAGCTATGGAGATTTTGACCAAATGACAGCCAAAATTCCTAATTATTTCTTGATCATTTATAAATAATGAATCCCTAACTGTACAGATTCTAATGACAACTGCCGCCTCAAAACTGATCCACATCCAACAAAAGCCTCACACTCAGTCAAGTCAGAAATTCACATTTACAATATCATCTTGCATGTTTCATTTTACCTATAGGGACAAATGTGACAGTTCTTTCTATTGTTTTTGGATATCATACATGGAAACAGCATGAACAATTAGAGTAGTTTAGTGATATGTGGGTCTACCATCTTGTACTTGGACACTTGCCATGGACACAATACGAAACGTATTATGAGAGTTTTATGTTATTTCAACTGATACTCTATACCACCTCATACTGCATGTTGTGTATTGTTAATGACATTAAATATATTAACTTTTTAAAAAAATATATCAGTTCATAAACAAGGAAAAGAAAAGAAGAATGTCATACTAAAGAAAGATTTCTTTTCATGTCTGACACTTTTAAGGAAAACAGAGTAGTCTACCTTGGAACACTCTTCTTCAAACTCCCTCAGCTGAAGACACTGTTCAAGCTTGCACAGTCGACTATCAGACAGACGGACAAGTCTGACAATGGTTGTCTGAAGATTGTCGTACAACTTGTTCATGCTCATCATGCTGTCCCTTGAAAAAAAAAAGATAAACCTAAATGTTATAACTAAACTATATGGTAACAACAGCAATGAACACTTTTTTCTCTGATTTGAAAAACAACACATGTTTTTGTCCATGAATTTCAACAATTAACATCTTAAGCTTTACGAATTACCGACCAGCCCTAGAAGGACAAAACACCGGTATGATGCAGTTTAAATTCATTATTTGTCTACATCTTATTTTATATGGAAATGATATATTAACATACTGTTTTCTTTGGTGTATGATATACAATATTTCAACTGAGACTGACTACAAGGTGAGGAATGAGGAATGACACTATAGAAACTGGACCTACCTATAGTCCTGAGAGTGAGATAGATGGACAGCCTCTCTCTGGAGACAGTTAATCACCCCCTCACCATCGGTCTGTACTGAGATGAGGCGATGATCGTCGAACACAGACTTGATGAGTTGTTCGTGATGTTCTATCAAATGATTTGCCTCCTTTGTCGTCCTGGGAACACCTCCAGTTTCTGTTAGGTCCTGCATGATACACACCAAATATTTGGCAGCAGACTGTAACTTTGAAACAAATGGGTCCAGCTTCTGAAAACAGCAAAATCATCAAATGTTTTAAGACATGTCAACCTGAACTCTGTTTCACACAAATCAGTTTCATAAAAAATTAAGGAACATCTTTTAGGTTTCATTGATTTGACAATTTTCTTCTGGAAATTTCATTGATATCTGATGAATTTATGGAACACAAATGATTCTCTTAAATTCAGATGGCACATAATTTGATTTTTCCCTCCAATGTAAGACGTATTTATATGAATATTCATAAATTTCTACAAAGGAACCCTGATTATCCAGACAGATCCATACTATATCAGTATTCTGTCTTATATTTACCATTTGGAAGCGGATCCAGTCCTCGTGGCTATACGTAAAGTGACCATCCAATGCTGCTGGGATGTTTTCTGGTGCTATGTACTGGTGTAAGGTAGCCATGGACACAAAGACTTCTAACTGCAGATCAGAATATTGACATTAGCTCTGATAACAAGATAATGTTTGTGAGATATACACATGCTCCCATGCAAAGTAGTGCAATTGTTAAGAAAGTTATATAAATAGTACCAGTGACCTTCACCTTACATTTGTTCGTCATTCATGATCATCAGTTGTGGTTTAATCAAAATTTATTTATAAAATTACATGTACAACACACCAAAAGTGACTGGTCAGGGAAGAGGCTGTTTCACAAATGTAACCCATCAATCCGATTGATTTGGATAAATCATGAGTGTTCTAATTATCTCAGCAATTAATTTCAAATTAAACAGAAAAGATAGATTAAATGTAAGCTGATTGTTTATGTATTAAGAATGTGATCATTTATACTTGAAGACAAATGAGGTGAGATGTTTGTGTGTTAGCAGCAAGAAAGCAGTGACTGATACTGATACTTCTGAATGGATGAAGTGAGGAAATTATGTGTCATTTTTGGAAATACAAGGAATGTTTTTAAATCTACCTGAATACACCTAAAAGACAAACAAAAGTCTAACAAATCAAATAAACAAACATGCACACACAAAACAAAATCTGTTTTATTTTAATTAGTTCCCTATCGATGAGATGTTAATTGTATTTAAAACATTTAACAATTTCTATTTCAAGAATTTAATAGGCCCATACTATAACAATAATGCAGTATTTGTTCAAAGGAAGGAATCATTCCAAATACAAGTTCAGTAGACTATAATCCTGCTAGAGTTACTCCCCTTGTATCAGTTATATGTGATTGTTATGTTGATAAGAAGTTGAAGTAGATTATTTGTATAACAATAATGTCGCATTTATCAAAGGAATGAATCATTCATAAAATGAGTTCAGCAGACTATAGTGCTGCTAGAGTTACTCCCCTTGTATCTATAACAAGTGATAGTTATGTTGATTACAAGTTGAAATGGATTATTTGTATCACATTGTGTTTAAACTGGAAACTTTATACAATATTGTTGGAAATGTGTAAGTTGTCTAAAAATACAGTTAAATATCACAGTCTGTGAATGGTCACTCAGCTTCCAATGGTCAGTTAATCATACATACCCTGAATGTGGCCAATGGGTCATACACAGGAGATTTCTTCACAAGGGATTCTGACATTTCATTGGCTAACATATAAACTGCTGACAATGCTCCTGGACAGTTACCCTGGAAACAGAGACACACATTAAATACAGCTTAGTGTTTCACTGTCGTTCTGGGTACAGGATGAATATTACATGATCAGGCAGTCTCACTAGGCAGAGTGTTACCAATACCTAACTATTAGTGGAGGTGACAATGAACAGCTTGGAATACCAAAAAGACAGAACACAGCATTCAACTCGGTCTCCAGTGTGACAACCTTTACATGAAATATTAAATGTGTTTTCACAAAGGTGTCCCATCTATAGTCCTTCAGTAATCCAATCTAACACACAGAATATAGGTGCACATAAAACATTAATTTGATGCTATGAATTAAATGAAGTCAACATTACATACAGGTCAAATGACTCTCAGATGAAGGTTGAAACAAGCCAAGATATCAACACCTGATGTTAGACCTGTGATCAGGACCCCTGATGAGTATTACCTGCAGTAGATACATAGTCTCCAGCAGTGTGTTGACCGTGGATATAGATGCTCCCTGAATATCTGCTACAATCTTCAGACCTTTTTTCTGAACATCATCCCTGTAAGCAAAGCATTTTCATTCAAATTATATATTTTCATGTCCTGTCCAGTTAGATATGGTAAAAAATAAACAATAAGTTTTTTTTAGATAGATAACATATTGCTTGAATTATATTTCAACAAATCATCAACTAGATAAAATGTTTCCTCAGGTAAAGGGTTCATAGAACTGGGAAATGCCATGGAGAATTGAGATACCTCGACTAACTTGAGGACTGAGAAATCTACGGTACCTTGGGACTGAGAGGCCTATACTTATCTGTGGACTGAGAGACTTAGACAAAGACAACTTAGAGACAGGTAACACATAATGAGCCAGTTGTAAGGATTACCTGTGGACTGAGAGACTTAGACAAAGATGAACCAGAGACAGGTAACACATTATGAGCCAGTTGTAAGGATTACCTGTGGACTGAGAGACTTAGACAAAGATGAACCAGAGACAGGTAACACATAATGAGCCAGTTGTAAGGATTACCTGTGGACTGAGAGACTTAGACAAAGATGAACCAGAGACAGGTAACACATTATGAGCCAGTTATAAGGATTATCTGTGGACTGAGAGACTTAGACAAAGACAACTTAGTGACAGGTAACACATTATGAGCCAGTTATAAGGATTATCTGTGGACTGAGAGACTTAGACAAAGACAACTTAGAGACAGGTAACACATTATGAGCCAGTTGTAAGGATTACCTGTGGACTGAGAGACTTAGACAAAGACAACTTAGTGACAGGTAACACATTATGAGCCAGTTATAAGGATTATCTGTGGACTGAGAGACTTAGACAAAGACAACTTAGTGACAGGTAACACATTATGAGCCAGTTATAAGGATTATCTGTGGACTGAGAGACTTAGACAAAGACAACTTAGTGACAGGTAACACATTATGAGCCAGTTATAAGGATTATCTGTGGACTGAGAGACTTAGACAAAGACAACTTAGAGACAGGTAACACATTATGAGCCAGTTATAAGGATTATCTGTGGACTGAGAGACTTAGACAAAGACAACTTAGAGACAGGTAACACATTATGAGCCAGTTATAAGGATTATCTGTGGACTGAGAGACTTAACAAAGACACTTAGAGACAGGTAACACATTATGAGCCAGTTATAAGGATTATCTGTGGACTGAGAGACTTAGACAAAGACAACTTAGAGACAGGTAACACATTATGAGCCAGTTATAAGGATTATCTGAGAGTGACAAAGACAACTTAGAGACAGGTAACACATTATGAGCCAGTTATAAGGATTATCTGTGGACTGAGAGACTTAGACGAAGACGACTTAGAGACAGGTAACACATAATAAGCCAGTTGTAAGGATTACCTGGGGACTGAGAGACTTAGACAAAGACGACTTAGAGACAGGTAACACATAATAAGCCAGTTGTAAGGATTACCTGGGGACTGAGAGGCCTTACAGACTTTCCGGTGACTAAGAGGCCATTAACCTTACTGGTGGACTATAGACCTGTTATAGACTTACCTTGGGACTGACCGATAGTACATTAACGTACGGGCCAGTTCCACACTGGACACCTTCTGTAGTTGCCACAGGGAACTCCTGGTGAAGATGAACACAACAGCACAACCTTCAACATCTCGAGATCCTGTTAAAAAGAGAACTGATGTGTAAGAGATGTGTACCATTGGAAAAAGAATAATAAGGTAGTCTGCGTGCGTACATGGACATATTGCGAGTTTTATTGCCATATGGATGGAACATGAAGCATTATGATTATAGTGAGGATGTAAAGCAAGACCTGAGATACAATGCTGCAGTAGCTGTCTTATACAGCAATGAGACAGATTTATGACCAGAAACTTCATGTTACTGTCACACATAACCAAATCAGAGAAAACACCGAGGGGAAAACATCAGCCTTCTAGGCTATATACTTTTGCAAGCACAAGAGACAAAACATCTATACACCTTTCAGTTCATGACTTAACAGACAAACTTGATGCTGAGAGCTCAACAGGCAATAATTTGCTTTCATTATGGTACATCATTTCCATGTGTATGCAATACCCAAGGTGGGTGTTGAACTTGTGATCAGCACTATGAAAGTTTCGCTATAGTCAAGGCCACCTGTAAATCATCGCCTCAGTCTATACAGGCACTCTTAGAGAATGCCATCTAGTTTATAGGGAATGCTGTCTGGTTTTATTGATAGGAAATACAGTCTTATTTATAGGGAATACTGTCTTATTTATAGGGAATCCTGTCTTATTGAATCCTGTCTTATTTATAGGGAATACTGTCTTATTTATAGGGAATACTGTCTTATTTATAGGGAATCCTGTCTTATTTATAGGGAATACTGTCTTATTTATAGGGAATCCTGTCTTATTTATAGGGAATACTGTCTTATTTATAGGGAATCCTGTCTTATTCCCTGTCTTATTGAATCCTGTCCTATTTATAGGGAATACTGTCTTATTTATAGGGAATCCTGTCTTATTTATAGGGAATACTGTCTTATTTATAGTGAATACTGTCTTATTTAGGGAATAATGTCTTATTTAGGGAATACTGTCTTAATTAGGGAATACTGTCTTATAGTGAATACTGTCTTATTTAGGGAATAATGTCTTAGTTAGGGAATACTGTCTTATTTAGGGAATAATGTCTTATTTAGGGAATACTGTCTTATAGTGAATACTGTCTTATAGTGAATACTGTCTTATTTAGGGAATAATGTCTTATTTAGGGAATACTGTCTTATAGTGAATACTGTCTTATAGTGAATACTGTCTTATAGTGAATACTGTCTTATTTAGGGAATACTGTCTTATAGTGAATACTGTCTTATAGTGAATAATGTCTTATTTAGGGAATAATGTCTTATATAGGGAATACTGTCTTATTTATAGGGAATAGGATTTAGTTTGTATGGAATCTTTTTGAAGGATAAACAGTCAATTACCCTAAAATGTCAGTTTAAACCAATTGAAGCAGGAAGTCATTAGGGAGATCAGGTAAATTACTAACAGAAGGAAGAGACAGTTAAACCTTCACCAGACTAATCTCATGTCATTAGCTTACAATCAGAAATAACCAATTAGGTACTGCTGCCTCATTATCTGTTTTAATTGCACTCTCAGAGGTGTATATCAGAGACACACACAAGTACGATATATTTGTATACACCTTAGCAGATATTTTCTCTGAAAGAATTTAAGATGGAGTCAATGGATTCTTTCTTTAAGGATCCATTACCTCTGCATTGTTTATACATAATCATTTAATTGTGATCCGCACCCATGTGAAGATGTGTCAAAATGAAATATCAATACCTTTTGAGACAACCCTTCATTCAGTGACTAGGTTTTGACACCACCCCTCAGAGAAAGACAGATTGATGATACTGTTGGTGATGATGATTATGATGGTCGGTAATGGCAGTACAGATAGCCAGGTGTTAATTGTGGTACACACTCCTGATACATCATGTTTTAGACCCCAGACTTACAAACATTCATTAGATTCAGATCATACAAACATGTTCAGGACTCAGAACAAACAAACATGTGCAAGACTCAGATCAAAGAAAATCACAGTTAATTTTTCAAAAACGTCTAAAAGTCGGCTACTAGAGTTATGGTCATACCAAAAGCACATATTATATATCAACTTGTTAGCTCCCATCTTTGCCCTGTGGATCCATAGAAGAGAAGCAGATCAAAGCTATCCCGGTCTTAAAATGTCAGGACAACTTACATCAGAAATATCTATAAACAAATCTGCTCAGCTTCCCCATCTGAGTGACAACTTTATAAGGTTTAATACCCTGAACACCAACATAACACCTGGATATAAAGAAATAGGGTCCCCTCAATTACTGACCCACTGACCAGGAAATCAACATGAACAGTATTTATTATGTGGTCACACATTGTACCTGTCCATCAACTGTACTAAGTATACATGTATACCAGGCCAGGGTCTGTGTTTACTGTCAGTTTATTATCTGATCATTATCACCACAGATATTGCTTTGATCTGTAGCCTCCACCCAAACATTCAGGTCAGACAAACAGTTTATCACCAACAATACATATATATATTAGTTTTCACCTTTCATAAAAGGAAAGTCATATTTTTATTATCATTAAAAGATCCTCATGGTTTTTTCTTTCCTTTACAAACATAATGTTACTTTTTGTTGAATGTTTGATTTGGTTTCTATACATTATATCTTATCAACAGTCATTTAAGCATTGCCTCTGATGTATGCGAGATAGTTACAATTGTTGCGTGGGTGTTTTTGGGAGGCTGCAATATGTTTATTTAAGCCTTTGTAAGATGGTACAGAACTGAAGCCAAATTTCTAGTGCTACTTCCCTGAAGTATACTACTGAACGCTCAACCACACACCAAAAAGTGATGGCAGAGAGACATTAGCAAGGAGAACGACCTTTAGAATTAAGTTAACATCATGCTTTTTATAAATGACTTTGTCAAACTTTAGCTTTATATAAATCCTATTTAGATTAATGACAAAGATCGTAACATTTTTCAAAAGAAAATTTACCAGGTGATATTTTATCGTTTAATGAAATTGTCTAATATTTATTAAATGACAATCATTGTCAAACTTAGGCTGAGTGAGATATAATCATACTTAAGTTGATTGAGAAATAATATCACACATTCAGAAAACAACAGATATTCACAAACATTCTTCTAAATGAAACAGTGTCATAGCTTTGTTTTTCACATGAATGAAAAAGTCAAAATTGGACAAGGAATTTTATTCTGTTGTAACCCATTTGATTAGCATGGCCAGCTGTCCACAGGTCAAAGATGCTGCTGGGGAAAGAGATGAGAATTGATTATGTGTTAATTTGAGGTTTGTCCCTAGAGAGCACTGAATTAAAGTGGACCAGTGGCCATCCACTGTGCCAGCTGGTCAATCAATCTGACCATTAGTGAATGACTGGGAGAGACAAGATGACCATTTAGTGTTTAATTCTCTTTTATTGATTAGTAAGCCACTGTGATTTGTGTCAGTAACACAAAGACATGGCTGCTGGTCACTTCTGTGTATTGGACATGTTTAAGGACAAATTGGTTGATGGGCAACAGAACTAGACATGATACACACACTTAATTGGTCTCTTGACCTCAAAGATGTCCTCTAGTTTTCAGTTAATATAAGAAAAGGTCTGAGTTGTTGAAAATCTTCGATAAATCCACTAGATTTTTAAAAGTATTTATCTTCATTCTTTTATATCACATACTTCATGAGCTGCTAGTCTATTTCAAAATATTTCCTTCTTTGACCATCATTTAGTACATCAATCTCATTTGCCACATTCTTCTTTAGAGAAAAACTGTGTATTTTATTCCTTAGAGAAAATAAAAAATACTCATCTGGAAAAAAATCTTAAAATCTAAATCCGAAACACAGCTATCAGGATCATCAATCTATATATAACAACCTTTCTTTGTCCGTTCTAACAAGACTGAGACCACAGCTGGATAGGGTTACTGGTCAATCAATGGTCAAGCGGTTTTTGGACCATGCACACAATGATAAAAGATGTCTCAGCTGTGTTCATTCCAGCATGATGACACTGCAGGCCGTAACTACTGCAGTACAATGACAATGGTTTCTACTCAACAGATTCACACAGCCTACAGCAAAATACTGTCGAATGCTGGCATCCTAGTCATTCTTTATAGACACGCTATTCACATCGTTTGCATATCTGAGTGTGTGAAAATCAGTGTATAAAGGGGAAAGGGATTAATTATCGATTGGTCCTTCTATATTGTCTACTAGTTACAGTGGAAGGCTGATACAAGTCATCCCCTGTGATTAGTTCAAACAAAAGCTGAATATTGGAAGGAAGGAAGGGGTTGCTGCTGAAGGGGACAGTAAAAGGGAAGCTAGGGAGATTAGACAAAGGAAAGGGGCTAAAGGATTGAAGGTGTCCTATCGGACCTCTGATCCAATAGATTTTTTATGTCCGCTTAAATAGTATCCTTAGTATCAGACATAACAAGTAGGAACTCTTTATCTCTTTTAAGACCTCACAGCTTTCTTACAATATAGACTATGATAATTTTGAAACTTTACAGTTATCTAAAATCAGTCCAATTTAAATAAAATCTAAGATACTTTAAAACTATCATGCAGATTTTCTCACCAAGGTTGAAATAAATAAAGCTGTACTTTATCATTTACTTTCAGTCAAGGCTGAAATAATTTAGTACTTAAGGTGTTGTGAAAAATAATCCATAACTTTTTTGTCAATTTGTATGGCATGGCCTCTCTCCTCATATCATAGATTAAATGCCCCTCCCTGACACGTCAGCTGACCAGAAGTGACTCAGAAGGTAAACTAACTTTAAACTAACTTTAGACTTCAGAGTGGTGTGAACTGTTTACAAGCAATGTCAATAAAGAATGACCAGCTCTGAACTATTGATTATCTGAGGTGATAGCCGAATTCCGACCTCAAAGGTACTGAGATAAAACAAACACATTAAAATCAATAAGAATTTGTGCACATAAGAACCCAGGTGTTAGCTGAAATAAACATAAAATGCCTTCATTCACTGAAAGTCCTAAAACTGTGTTAGCTCGAGTTATATAGC